AATTTATAAACTGCACAGCCTCCTCAAGTCTGCAATGAAATTTCGCGGCTTGCATGCCTTTTTGCAGCGTGGTGACGAAGCACTTACCAACTGGCAATTATGGCATCGATATTGCTGGTCTCTTATAATTAAATCGATTATGGAATGCTTTTAGCGTTCATTTAAAAGTCACATTTTGCTGTTGGGAGTTCTGGATCTTAAATGTCATATACTTTCAAGCTTTTTAACTAACAAATAATAACAAATATAACAAATGTAGATGGAGTTGCAAAGGTAAGCAAGGTTGCCTCATTCTGGGTATCACAAATAACCGGTAAAATTACTTACACGACCAACAAATAAAAAGGTGCAAGAAAAGAAATATTAACATGATTAATTTTATTAAATTTCAAAAGTAATCCAAAAGAAATCTTTTGCTTAGGTAATCAAGACACCATTTTTCCTTCATAAAGGTCATTGTGAATACGATTTTTAAAGTTTTTCTGTATTTATATGACCATATTCTAGCTGTTTGTACACTAAATGGAGCAACAATTTTTTCAGGATTTAATTTAGCAGCACAGAAGCGACCCCTGGCGGCGGTCACTCGCTTCCGCCAGGATGCCTGCTGTTGACATTGCCAAGGTTGTTGTTGCATGTTGCTGATGTCGCAGTTGCTGCAACTACCCCACTTTTGCGAGTGTGTGAGTGATGCTTTGTGCAGGCAACAAAGAAACCGCCAGAGTGCCACGCCCCCACAACAAACCACTCCACCCAAATGCCCTCCAAAAAAACAGGCAGCAACCTTACATGGGACAGCCTAAAAGTAGGCAACACATATGCTAGTTTCTTTTTGCAGCTGCAATATTTTGCATTAATTAGAAAGTGGGCCATGTTCCGTGTTCCCCCGCCCCCTTTCACCGTTAAGTACTGCCAACTTGTGTGTGCGGTTAGGGGCCTAAACAAAATGGCTGCCGCTGTTCGCAATTCGCGCTGTTTGTCTGCGGAACCGTTAAATTAGGCTTAAAGCAACTGCCAACGCAGGCAACTTCTATGCATTGTTTTGTTAAATACTTTACGCAAATTGCCCGCTCACTCTTTGTGTTTGTTGTTTTTACTAATTACGTAATTACCACGGCCAAGTTGAGTGTTATTGCTGTAGCTACCACAAAATTCCAATGCATTTCAAATTTATTTAAGGGTTTGAGCGCGTTATTAGAACACAAATATTTCAAACATTTCTAATTAATTAAAACCACAAGCAACATGTTCAGGAAGTTGAGGCAAAATGCTTAAACTTAAGTTTGCCTGCATTAAATGCCTTTACAGTTTACAAATTGTTGTTTGATTTAAGTTTGTAAGGTTTAAATTACGTAAGTCCTCCAGTAATTTTTAGTATAATATTTCGATTTATATGGCTAGATGCTATAAAAAATATCTTAACGTTTATTTAAACAGTTTGTACAAATATATTCAGTGTGTGCATAGTACAATTTTGACATTTTTTAAGGCCTTTAAGTCAATAGGTATTTTCAAATTTTTGTTTCAAATTTGATATACAAGGTTTTGCTTAAGGTTACCACAACAATTTTCTTTGCTCTAGTTATATTGCCATAGAATTGAAATTCCACCCTAAATTGGATACCTGAATTTATTTAATTCGTGTCAAAAAGTGCCTGTCGAATTCAAGTCCACCTAATGGGATTTAGCCATGAAAGAAATTTATGCATAAATGCATTGCACAAAAGTCTGGTCGAATTCTATCACAAGTGTTTACGACTCGTTAACTAAACGATTTTGTATACGAACATGCAACAAATATTTGCAGAGATATGCCAAAAGCAACGACGACGACATCTGATGCCATTGTTTAGCAAAAATATCAAAATATGAAACAGCATTTGAATTGGTGAGGCAGTCAACCTCTAGCATCGTATCAGCAGGAGCTGAAACAGAAGCTATAGCAATCAGGCAGCAACCCACATCCCTCAGATTTTCCATCCAGGAAAATTCCAAAGGGGGGAAGTGGGGGAAATGTACGCAGCTCGCTCTGACAGAAAACTAAAAACTTTGCCAGGCATTTTGTATATACAAATACATATAGAAAGCATTCTCGAAAAAAAAGAAAACAAAATCACAGCGATGGCAACAAGAAACAATTGGCTTTTATTGAAGTAAAATTTAATAAAGAAGTTTTCAATATGCTTTGGCAATATGTAAACAATCAACTCGGCTCCAAAAATCATAAATATTTTCATTACGGAAATGCAACAAAGGCCAAACTTTCGGCGACTTGAGGGTTTCTGCCTGAAGTGTCCTTGTTGTTGCTCTTGTTCTACTTAGAGTGCAGCTGCCAAAATTTCCCAATATGCACTCCACAAATATTTATATAAATTTCAGTACAATTTGTATTTCCATTTAAGGTCGTCGGTTACAAGTGTTGACGGCAAGTTTTGTGTCAAGCGTTTTTATGACGAATTTATTGGACTTAGGCAAAAAGTAGTATCAACATTTAAATGTCACAACAAGCTGTAGGCCTTTGTCCAAGTCAGGAAAAGAGAAAGAACCAGGTGCAAAGACCAAGTGAACTAAAGGAGGTGATATGGAAGTTGGAATTTATTGGCCCCAAGAAAAGTCTGCTAATATGAATTGATTTATAGCAATGCTCTAAATACTAACTGGGTCATTTAAATCATATTTACTTAAAATCAACATTTGTCTGAAGCGTATTAATGCCTTTCAGCTTTGAAATTAATTATGCCTTTTACTTGCTAAGCCCTAAATTAATTTTTTTTATAATTTAAATAGTAAAGAGAGTAGAGAGTAGTAAAAACATATCATTTTCTACGCATCCTGCAGTAAATGAAACTTATCGTGCTTTTATTTCCAAAATTTTCGATGCACAATTAACAAAATTTCACCTGCCACACTTATAGCCATCAACCTTTGCCATTATTTTCACAGCACCCGGTCAGGCTAATTTGTTTACAGCCAACTGGCCAACACACACATGTGCATGCTGACCAAACTAGGCCGTCGCTGCCATTTATTATAATTGAACCGCTACCCGCACAAAACCAAACTGCGAACCGCCGACGTTCGCAGGCATAAATTGATTAACTTGCTATTGGCCAGACCGAAAGACAAACGGGGGATTTTGGGAACAGGCTGCTTCAGTGGAGCGACCATTTAAATGTGCACTTTGGGTTTCATAATTAACTGAAAATTATGTGCGTCGGTCTAGCAAAGATACAGGCGGCCACCAAAACCAGAAATCACACCGAGAACATTTTGAATAAATTGCTTTTATATTGTTTTTGGATAATATATGTAGCCAGTGTTTAAAAAATATCGACAATGTCCACGGTTTAATTGCGATCTATTAGTCCAATCTCCGAATTAAATTTTGAAGGCTACTATTTAATTGATTTAATACTAAAAGTTTTTTCAACCCATATTTGTTTATTTGGTTGACCACACATTGATTGTAATTTTATTTAGCTTTCATATTTTAAGTATTATGGTGATATTTTAAACTTTCCAGTATTTTCAGAAATATTTGCTGATATTTTTGGTCAGTGCTTTGCAGATCCACCAGATTTACGGCTGGTAAAGACGATTCTGTCCTCGTAATCCGCGCGGGTCAACAAACAAATTACATTTTAAACTAATTAAAATACATAAATGTGGGGACATGATGCTGGAACATCTCTATGACCACATGCACATCCACGTTAATTGCAGGCATTCCGGCAGTCGGCAGTCAACATATAGCGATCACCGCCGAACTTCGCAGACCGGAACTCCGCCCCGACGAACAGAGTCACCGACTCTCAAAAACAACATCGGATTCGGGTTCGGAATCGGATCCATCCATCCAACCACCACCAGCAACACCATATTGGTCGAGTGGAGGAATTACGGCAGCATTATGGTACATTATCTGCTGCAGACCCCAAAAACCCAACGACAACTTCATTTGCCAGTGGGAGTGAGATGGAATGAGGGAGGGAAAGAGAAAGAGAGTTGTGAAGCAGAGAAAAATTTATGTTTGACATTAACAGCAGTGCGGAATTCAATGAAAAACAAGAACAAGGGAGGAACTATAACTTCTGCATTTAAATAATAGTTATTTGGAAAATAAATGATATAATAATACTATACACAAAGCAGCAAAAAACATTTTTTTATTGTTAGGAGAATCGATAAGAATCGATGCAAGTCTTTTTATTTCTGGACTACTTATAACTTAAGGATATAAACTCATTCCCAAAGCATTTCCGGATCACCCTAGATAATGTGTTTCTGAGAAGACTTTTTTGCAAAAGCATTTAATTGAAAGCTGTCCAATTTGAGTCTATATTATACATTCTCTCAAGACTATTAAATTAAACTTACACATGAAAGTTGAGTTCAGTCTAATTCCACGAAATGACGAGGCACAACCTACAAAGTTCTCTTGTCCAGCACTTAAATTGACATAATTCTTAATGAGTAATTAGCGTGATCTCTTTATTAAATTAGTTAAAGTTTATTTTGTGAATTATTTAAAGGAGAATTTTAATCAATAAACGTTTACTGAACAAATAGCTAGAGTTCCTGTTAAACGCGAAATTTATAGACATTGCATTTATGTACACCGCCAACCAATTTCGGTAACCACAAATTCCGCCCTCGATTGGACTCATTCGAGAGGGCTGCCTCTTGGGTTTTAGGGTCCAGATCCACATATAGTTGAGGCCGTTACCATGGCTCTATAAACAACCCCCCAACACGCCCCTACTTTCTACACTCATTGTTGCTGCTGGAATAGATGGTATGTATGGCATGGTGGTGGTGTCGCTGGCGTTTTGATCTATGGATGCATGAATGATTCGCTGCGCACCGCAGCAACAAAAGCTACAGCGACCGTAATGACACCAGAAAACAATTGAAATAATTCTAGCAGAAATTTTTGTTAGCTCACCGACCCAGGCCAGCCAACTTTATTCGTGGTGTGTGTTCTTTTTTTTTTGTGGCTCAGTTTCAATTTCAACGTCGAACGAACGAAAAGTTGCAGGCTAAAAATACCAATTTTGGTAAAACATTCACACATATTGTGTTTTCGAAAAACTGCGAACTATAATTAATAAATACGCTTAAATGCGCCATGGACTATGCAAAAGTTATGTGCTAAAAGTGAGAGTTAAAAAGTGTCGCAACTGGCAATCATGTGGAATGCATTAAGGATTCAACAGTTTTTCTGGCTAATCCCGCTTCTGATTCACCCTTCGCAATTTTGTTGGGGCCAACAGACGCACATCAAGTTGGAGCAGGGAGACCTTATTGGGGTGAGACCGGAATAAACTAGGTCTTAAGGACTTTAAGGAACTGAATTCGGTCCGTTGCTTTCAGCTCAAGGTCTTTCCGGATGGAACACGTGGCGCTGTCTACGCTTTTTTGGGTATTCCCTATGCACAGGCACCTCTCAACGAACTTCGATTCGCTGTAAGTTTCGCATTTTTCTCAATATTTAAACATTTGTTTAAGCAATGAAGAGTATTATACTTAAAGAACTATGATTTGGAAGCCTTAATAAAATTATTTAAATTCCGACCCTCAATCGATTGGAAATTTTATAACGAATTCAGCGAGGTATGACCTTCCAACATTAGACCATTATTTCCGAGGGTTTTGATCAAAAACCCGAGAAAAAAGTAGATTTTTCCGGATCTCCGGATTTCGGCTTTTTTCATAAGGGGTTTCATTGTCATTTTTGGCGAAAAACCGACCAAAATGAAATTTTTTAGCTGAGAATGCCACTCGATTGGAAATTTTATAACGAATTCAACAAGGTATAACATTCCAACATGTGACCATTATTTTCCAGGGTTTTGATCAAAACACCGAGAAAAAAGTTGATTTTTCCGGATCTCCGGATTTCGGCTTTTTTCATAAGGGGTTACATTGTCATTTTTGGCGAAAAACCGACCAAAATGAAATTTTTTGGCTGAGAATGCCACTCGATTGGAAATTTCATTACCAATTCAGCGAGGTATGGCATTCCAACATGTGCCCATTATTTCCCAGGGTTTTGATCGAAAAACCAAGAAAAAAGTTGATTTTTCCGGTTCTCCGGATTTCGGCTTTTTTCATAAGGGGTTACATTGTCATTTTTGGCGAAAAACCGACCAAAATGAAATTTTTAGCTGAGAATGCCACTCGATTGGAAATTTCATTACCAATTCATCGAGGTATGGCATTCCAACATGTGCCCATTATTTCCCAGGGTTTTGATCAAAAAACTGAGAAAAAAGTTGATTTTTCCGGATCTCCGGATTTCGGCTTTTTTCATAAGGGGTTACATTGTCATTTTTGGCGAAAAACCGACCAAAATGAAATTTTTAGCTGAGAATGCCACTCGATTGGAAATTTCATTACCAATTCAGCGAGGTATGGCATTCCAACATGTGACCATTATTTCCCAGGGTTTTGATCAAAAAACTGAGAAAAAAGTTGATTTTTCCGGATCTCCGGATTTCGGCTTTTTTATAAGGGGTTACATTGTCATTTTTGGCGAAAAACCGACCAAAAAAAAATTTTTTGCTGTGAATGCCACTCGATTGGAAATTTTATAACAAATTCAACAAGGTATGCCATTCCAACATGTGCCCATTATTTCCCAGGGTTTTGATCAAAAAACTGAGAAAAAGTTGATTTTTCCGGATCTCCGGATTTCGGCTTTTTTCATAAGGGGTTACATTGTCATTTTTGGCGAAAAACCGACCAAAATGAAATTTTTTAGCTGAGAATGCCACTCGATTGGAAATTTCATTACCAATTCAGCGAGGTATGGCATTCCAACATGTGACCATTATTTCCCAGGGTTTTGATCAAAAAACTGAGAAAAAAGTTGATTTTTCCGGATCTCCGGATTTCGGCTTTTTTCATAAGGGGTTACATTGTCATTTTTGGCGAAAAACCGACCAAAATGAAATTTTTTAGCTGAGAATGCCACTCGATTGGAAATTTCATTACCAATTCAGCGAGGTATGGCATTCCAACATGTGACCATTATTTCCCAGGGTTTTGATCAAAAAACTGAGAAAAAAGTTGATTTTTCCGGATCTCCGGATTTCGGCTTTTTTATAAGGGGTTACATTGTCATTTTTGGCGAAAAACCGACCAAAAAAAAATTTTTTGCTGTGAATGCCACTCGATTGGAAATTTTATAACAAATTCAACAAGGTATGCCATTCCAACATGTGCCCATTATTTCCCAGGGTTTTGATCAAAAAACTGAGAAAGAAGTTGATTTTTCCGGATCTCCGGATTTCGGCTTTTTTCATAAGGGGTTACATTGTCATTTTTGGCGAAAAACCGACCAAAATGAAATTTTTTAGCTGAGAATGCCACTCGATTGGAAATTTCATTACCAATTCAGCGAGGTATGGCATTCCAACATGTGCCCATTATTTCCCAGGGTTTTGATCGAAAAACCAAGAAAAAAGTTGATTTTTCCGGTTCTCCGGATTTCGGCTTTTTTCATAAGGGGTTACATTGTCATTTTTGGCGAAAAACCGACCAAAATGAAATTTTTTAGCTGAGAATGCCACTCGATTGGAAATTTCATTACCAATTCATCGAGGTATGGCATTCCAACATGTGCCCATTATTTCCCAGGGTTTTGATCAAAAAACTGAGAAAAAAGTTGATTTTTCCGGATCTCCGGATTTCGGCTTTTTTCATAAGGGGTTACATTGTCATTTTTGGCGAAAAACCGACCAAAATGAAATTTTTAGCTGAGAATGCCACTCGATTGGAAATTTCATTACCAATTCAGCGAGGTATGGCATTCCAACATGTGACCATTATTTCCCAGGGTTTTGATCAAAAAACTGAGAAAAAGTTGATTTTTCCGGATCTCCGGATTTCGGCTTTTTATAAGGGGTTACATTGTCATTTTTGGCGAAAAACCGACCAAAAAAAAATTTTTTGCTGTGAATGCCACTCGATTGGAAATTTTATAACAAATTCAACAAGGTATGCCATTCCAACATGTGCCCATTATTTCCCAGGGTTTTGATCAAAAAACTGAGAAAGAAGTTGATTTTTCCGGATCTCCGGATTTCGGCTTTTTTCATAAGGGGTTACATTGTCATTTTTGGCGAAAAACCGACCAAAATGAAATTTTTTAGCTGAGAATGCCACTCGATTGGAAATTTCATTACCAATTCAGCGAGGTATGGCATTCCAACATGTGCCCATTATTTCCCAGGGTTTTGATCGAAAAACCAAGAAAAAAGTTGATTTTTCCGGTTCTCCGGATTTCGGCTTTTTTCATAAGGGGTTACATTGTCATTTTTGGCGAAAAACCGACCAAAATGAAATTTTTTAGCTGAGAATGCCACTCGATTGGAAATTTCATTACCAATTCATCGAGGTATGGCATTCCAACATGTGCCCATTATTTTCCAGGGTTTTGATCAAAAAAGCGAAATAAAAGTGCATTTTTCGGGATCTCTAGGTTTTTTTTTTCGAAAAATCGACTAAAATTAATTTTTTGAGCTATGAATGCCACTTGATTTTAAATTTTACAACAAATTCAACGATGTATGACATTCCAACTTTATCCCTGGGAAATGACTTATAATTTGTATTTAATTACTAAGGTTTCATTGATCGATTCGTTACCAATGATTTAAACAATTATCTGTTTGTGAATTTATTCCCCAGCCCGCCAAGCCGAGTTCCAGCTTTAATCGCACCCTCCAGGCCACTGCCATGCAGCCCATTTGCCCACAGCTCTCGAACACCATCTACGACGAGAGTTCGGATGGCGGTATTCCCAGATCAGTGAGCACAGACGAGGACTGCCTGTATCTGAACATCTGGACCCCGGAGTCGGGGCTGCGATATGGCAAACTGCCCATCGTTGTTATTGTCACGGGTGAGGAGTTCGCCTACGATTGGCCCAGAAATCGCATCAATGGCTTGGACCTGGCTGGAGAGGGCATTGTGGTGGTCAGTGTCCAGTACCGAAGTAACATTTACGGATGGCTGAGTCTGGGAGAGCAGCATCGCCATGTCCCTGGAAATTATGGCCTAAGTGATGTCCAAATGGCATTGCGGTGGATTCAAAGGAATGCAGCTGCTTTCGGGGGCAATCCGGATCACATAACACTTTTGGGTCATGGAAGTGGAGGAGCACCAATGGCACTGGCTGCGGCTTTGGAGGAGTCCCACATAATAAAGCAGCTAGTGCTCATGTCACCCGGTCCCATAATGCGAACTTTGGGTCGGAATCACCAAAAGCGAGTGGTAGAAACGGGCCAGGAGCTGGTCAAGAAATTGGGCTGTCAGTTCGAGGAGGCACAACGGCGCCAGTTGATGGGTTGTCTGAGGCGAAAGAGTCGAGAGGACCTGCTCCGCGCCTACGAAAGTGTGTACAACCATGGCAATGGAAGCTCCCAGCTGGGAGTGATTCTACCGGAAGGACTTACATTCGAGCAACGACTTCAAAATGAAACACTCCCTCCCGTTCTGCTGGGCATCACTTCCAATGAAGGCGCCTTCCTGCAGGACTACTGGCTGGATGTGGCCAGGGAGGGTCAGCTGGCGCTCCAGAAGTACATAAATCACACTTTATTGCCAAATGTGATGCGAGCTATGGATTCTGCGGGGGAGGAGAGCTCCGCCCAATTGGCAGCCATTAGATGGAGATACTTCAATGGGAAGGGAGAGGGCGTCACCCATCTTCTGGGTGGAATGCAACGGCTGCTCTCCGAATCCCTCTACGAATTACCCTTCTTTCGTCTTTTGGATATGCTAAATGGAAGCACTAGCTACGCTTATGTATTCGACCAATCCCACTCGATGGACATGCGTGGCAGGAGGAATCTTTTCGGAGGAGCCTCCCACAGCTCCGATCTGCCCTTGCTCCTGGGTCCAAGTCTGTTTCAGCAGATAGCCCGTCGAAGATTCAGTGGCGAGGAGGAGCAACTCTGCCGGAAACTCAGAGGAGCCTTTGCCAATTTTATAAAGAATGGCAATCCCACGCCAGGAAGGATCTTCGATGGCTGGTTGCCCTATAACAAAGAGAACCCATTCGTCTATAGTCTGGGAGAGCAGACGAAGACTCCACAAGCAGGATCAGTGGATGAAGCGGAGGTGGAGAAGCTACTCAGGGGGGAAACGGGGGCTCCAGGAACGGATAGGAGTTTATCGCGTAGCAACCGCCACGATACCTATAGAGCAATACCTTCCAATTCGTACACGGCCCGCAATCAACAGGATTCGGGTTTCTCCAATCACTTGGAGAGGGTTTACGGATTCTGGCAGGTGCTACTCCCACTGGAAAGAGAGGAGGATTTACGAGGCGGAGCTCTTGGTCAGCGAGTGCGACTCCTAGAAGCGAGTGCCGATGCAGCTCGCTACCGACAGGGATTCTACGCCATGTTGGGACTGGTGTGCCTACTCCTTGCCTGCCTCTGTCTCTGCGTTTATCTGCTCAAAAGAGACCCGAATCCAATGAGACGACGCAGTGCATCATCGGCTTCGGATTGCTACAGCTTATGACATAAGTGGTTTCGTTGGACGACCATCTTTGGGGGCCGGAAGGACGAGGGGCCGTCGACCTCGGGCATTGCCAATGTCGAGTCCTGGCGCAAAGGTGGTCGTGCAACGAAACGGGCAGAGGAAGGAAGCGGAGGAGCAGAATCTGGAAATGGTGGAGGTAATCCTGGAGGGGAGCGACGAGACCAGATTCTCAATAATCAGCGTGCAAGACGTCCAAGGCAAATGCAGCCGTACGATTTCAAGGTTGCCCACTCTAATGGAGGAGCAGGAACTGGAGCCGGAGCTGGATTCGGAGCAGGGGCATCCACCAGAAATGGACGAGCAGCAAGAGCAGGAACAGGATCGGGAAGTGGAGCTCCACCTGGAACTGTTGAGGAACTCCTGGACCCTGTCGCCGGCAAATTCGAGCCGAGTGTGGCTGTTAGGAACTGGCAATACCAGTTGACTTGTGATAAGTTCTGAAAGCAACCAAAAATGTTAATTATAGTTTCGTATACGTATTTTTACTCTAAATGTTTACACTTGTACGTAATTAAATAAAGACAAATTTTACACTAAAAATATTAAGGGGTTGTTATAAAGTCAATTAGTCAATTAGTTTTTCAATAGTTTTCAAACATTAATCTATGGTTTTTATTTAAAAACTTGTAACTTATATTTTTACAAAAGCGTACATATTAATCAATTTTCGTCAACAACTCAAAGGCACCTGTACCATTTCGCACCGGTAGACCAACCATTAATCGACCAGACGGGGAGTTCAGCTCATCCGATCTGCCGAACCCGGTGGCGCTCCTTAGGAACTGCAAACTGGACTCGAAGGACATCTGCTGCAAAGGCGACGAGGAGTGCTCCATACCCTTTCTCGACAGAGGCTGGAAGGTTCCGTCGAAGGTCATGTAATCCGCGATTAGCGAAAGATGCCGGCGATCCACGGTGATGCCGTAGACCTTGAAAACGTTGCTCACTTCCTTAACAATCACTTGGGATGCTGCCTCAATGCCGTACGTTCTGGCAATCGCATGGATGTCGTTGGAGTACAGGCGATTGAGGTCGAGAATCTTGTTGTGCTGGAACATCTCGCCAATATTAATGCCATCGGTCTTGACCAGCTGCTCATCATCATTGCCCTTGTAGATAATGGCCCGCTTAATATGCTGCACCTGGTGAACCACACTCTTACCCGCCAACTCGCGGATGATTGAGGTCAAATCGGGCTTCTGGTAGCGCACACTTAAGTTTAATTTGACCTGGCACCACAAATGACTCTCTTTGTCATAAGAATAGGCCTTAACCATTTCATTGCTGAGCAGCCTTTCAACCGACTTGTCGTCGCCATCGTTCTCATCATCGTTCTCGGCCTTTTCGTCGTCTACCTGATCCTCCGCCTCTTCGTCGTCGTCTGAAAATCAATTAAACTCATTATAAACGCTTACATAAATAAAAAATAAAAATATTAGTTTACCATTGGCATCATGGAGCTCATCAACATCATCTGGGTCATCGTAGTCCTTCTCATCGGTTTTGCGTTGCTTTAGTTTCACACCAGTCGCATCGTCATCGCCCTTTAGATAAAAACCCAATTAAATAAAGATTAAAATAATGTTTAGCTTAACTCACGTCATCGTCCGATGAATCATCATCATTATTATCCATTGCTTTTCGACCACCCACATCATCTGCATTGTCCAAATCATCATCCTCTTTTTCAGTGTCTTTTTTGTCGTCTATTACAACTCTGGAATTGTAAACAAATTAATGATTAAAAAAATACTTCATCTGCATATTATTATTCTTACATTTTCGTCGTCTTCAATGCGTTGGATACTTTTAAAATGGCCCGAATCAGTTGCTTGATGAAGGTTTGGTGCATGTATTTGATGATACGTTTGGGTCGCACACCGTAATCCTCCTTGTAGACCTCTCTTGGCAAGAATTGGAAGCGCATTTCATACTCATACGCTCGCTCCGGTTCAAGAGTTAATCTGGTACTGATGTGGACAGCTACATAAAGGATTTGCTATTTAATACAAGTTTATGCAAAAACCGGGAATTTAACCACTTACACTCCAAAAGATTTGCCAGAGTCACAGAATTAAGATTTATGCGCAGCTTCTCGGCCTGCTGCTGCTGACCAGGCTTTATGGGAATATCCATCGAGGGCGTCTTTATGTTCGAAGAGGCCAGCATGAGGATCTCTCGAAGTCGGGGAATACCCAGGGTAACGTTCATCTCACCACGACCCGCAAAATGGAAGGTATTCAGTGTCATCTGTGTGGAAGGTTCACCTATCGATTGGGCGGCTATTAGACCCACAGGTTCGCCAGGTGATGCCAATGCTTTAATGGTCTTCACCCGCATAATGTCCGCTATGGTCTCCTTGTGTACTGGCTTCCTCCGAGCATAATCATCGATCAGTTTCTGCGTCCGCTCCGAGACACTACCGTAGTAAACATCCTGCTTGTAGACGGCTACCGCGGGATCCGGACAGCGGGCATACTTCTTGCGATACAAAGCCTTGTCCTCGGCATCCGCCTTTTTCCACAGCTTAAGCAGACCCTCATCGAAGCGACGGCGACCTGTCTTGGCGTTTATCTCATTCGGTCTCTTCACCTCTACCTCCTCGCGCAGCTCCTCTGAGAAGTGTGTGAAAGCGGCACGCAGCTTGGTTGGCTTCTTTTTCTGCCAACTGCGTATGTGCTTTTCGTGGCGCCGCACCTTGGCCAGATCCTCCTCGTCCTTCATCAACCGCAGTTGACTGGGCCGCAGAATAGCCGTGGCATTCTGGGTGAGGAAATCAGCACAGAATTTATCGTTGAAAAACTTGGACTTCAGGATATCCAGACCATCTTCGCCGTAGAGGAACTGCACCACACTGTTGTCACTGTCGCGGACTGTGAGATCATAATGGACACTCAAGCCCTCCAAATGTTTTATGAGACAGCGCTGCAGGTAACCGGAGCGAGAGGTTTTAACAGCAGTATCAATAAGACCCTAAAATAAAATATAGGAAATAGTAAATACAGATAAATTCTTGTTTTAAAATTATTCGAAACTCACTTCACGACCTGCCATGCAATGGAAGAAAAAGTCCTGTGGCTGAATGCCCGTCATGAAGCGTCCATCGATGAACCCTCCCGACTTGGGTGAGGTCTCAAATGAAGTAAAACTAGGCAGCGATTTGCCGGATATCATCAACGGTGGTCGCTTTCCTTCCAACTCAATCTGTCCCAGCAGACAGGAGATTTGCATAGTGTTTACCATGGATCCCTTGGCACCGGAAAGAACCATCAGTTGCAGATTGTTTGAAGGGAACTTGGTAATTAAACCACCAGGCAGGCAAGTTCTAAATAAAGGTAAAAAAAATAGTTTGTCATGGTTGGATTATATATGAAACCAATATAAACATACTTATTTATTTCATTTGTGTAGCCATCCAAAACCGATTTATATTTGCGATCCAAAATCACTCGGAACTTTGTGTCCTTCATATAGGCCTCCTCCATTTTCTCAACCAATTCATCGTGCGGTGGGTCATCTTCTAATTCCAAAGCTGCAGCCACTGCGCTGTTTCCCACACTGCGGGACTCACGGATGATTTTTCTTCTCTTTTTGTCCGCCTCGCCTGTCACTAGAATATCCTTGACGCCCAAAGTAAAGCCTTCCAGTTGCAGGAAGAAGGTGAATACCTTGGTAAAGGAAGTGAGCAGACGGGTGGAAACTTCGCCGCCATACAGCTCGTACATGCAATGGATCAAACCGAAAGTCGTGGCTCCATACTGCTGTTTATCAAGAACTCCAACAAGTAGTTCACCCTTTCTAATTTGCACTTGGCTCTCGCTGAGCTCGTTTTCCTGAGGATTTGTGCCACAAATTGCTGGTCGTGGACGGTTTACATTCCAATTCTGCAAAGGATTGATAGAAACATAAATATGTGAAACAAAATACACTCCAAAAAACTAACTTACCTTTCCACCAATCTTGGCGAAGGAATCCAGATTAATTCTTTCAAAGCCGTCGGGAATAAGGTTAATAATAATGGTGGACAAGACCTGCTTTCCGGACCAAAGGTTCACTGGTTTTAATATAGCCGGTGGGAGTAGCTTGACATCCCTTATGTGGTGCGACAGTCCCTGATACACCAGCTGCTGGTAGTCCTCGCGGTTGAAGAACCTTCCACGAATCGAGAGCTTCACACCCGAAATGACATGATCCTGAATAAGTCCACCCAACGGGGTGCCATCTTTAGGCACCAGATAGTTGCTGGCCACATTCACTAGGTTGTATGCTTCTGCCCTGGCCACCTCACTCTGCGGATAGTGGGCGTTCATTTCATCACCATCGAAATCGGCGTTGTAGGCCTTGCAGTTGGAGTAGTGCAGTCGGAAGGTCTTCTCCCCTTGCAGGATGCGAGCCTTGTGAGCCATGATGGATGGCTTATGCAGCGAGGGCTGCCGGTTGAGTAGGAGGACATCTCCATTGAGCACGTGCCTATGGACGATCTTAACGCCATCTTTTGGATTCGACAAAAGCAACTTGGCCAAGCTCTCCCGCTTGACCGCATTATCGGCGGGTATGTAGGTGGTAAATCCGTTCTTATCCTGGATGTAGTTCGCTCCGGGGTGCACGTCCGGTCCGTTGCACACCATTTTTCTCAGCTCCGTAACATTCCACTCCGTCACGGGCACGGGATAAGATAATTTCCTGGCAAATATGTCAGGTATACCGATCTCATCAACGTTTATATTAGGATCCGGAGTGATGACAGTGCGCGCAGCGTAGTTCACTCGTTTGCCCATCATATGCTTACGAATGAGGCCATCCTTCTTTTCAATAATTTGCTTCAATCCTTCGGCAGACTTCATTTCTCGGGACATGTTTACGTCGAGGAGGACATCCACAGAAGTTTGTAGGGCCAGCCAAGCGTTATAAAGCTTCTCATGGGATGTGTCGCCCTTTAGGTTCTGATAAGCGGCCTTAGCCTCCTCCGTGAGCTTCTCCTGGCTGCCTTTCATGTACTTGATTACCACATTCAACACATGGTTGTTCTCGATGATGTGGATGTAGATGTCCGTCTGGGGATTGCCCTTCAGCATATCTCCGATCATGTTCATGGGACGAGCGCGAGGTGGTGTCACCGGAATTGTATCCATAAAGAATAGATCCACGGGCGATCGATCGCCCTGCAAAGCATCAGTGTTTGTCAGCCCCAGAACTGGAACTAGAAGCTTCAACAGCTCAGGGTAATTGTTGTAAATCTGGCGCAGATATCGACGGCATTCGTCGGCAAAGATAACCTTGTTCTGACCTCCGCTTTCAAGGACACCTCCAACGCTTTTGAAAGAAAAAAATCTTCAGTTTTCAAACTTTACTAAAGTAAAAGATGTTTCATCTTACCGCTCCTTGAGATCCGCCATTGTGACGTAGAAAACCAGCCTGCGATGCATGTAACGCACAAATCGCATTGATTTGTTGCAGTGCCTGCACTTTTTGCCCGCCCGCTGCAATGCAGTATGGGTAATAGCTGTCCGCAGGGAGCAGCTCGTCTTAGTGGAGTTGCCGGAGTTATTTTCGTTCTTTTCCAGCAGCTTGTACATGGCTGCAATGTTGGGATGGACCATGTCGCCGTTTTTCAGGGTCACCAGTTCATCGGAGTTCTGACATACAATTTCTGACTTGAAGATCTCCAGATCCTGCGCCTCGATAATGTAGCCCGCATCGATAAGGCGCAATTGCAGCATGATGATCTCGCATTCGTGGTCTGAAAAATAGGAGCTGTTAACTACTGATGAAAGTGAGCTATATACTTTGGTTACCCTTCATCTGTAGCTTGTAGCAATGCAGGCAGAAAATGCAGAGCAGACGCTGCACCAGCTTGATGAAGAAAGGATTGTAGACGGGCGTGGCCAGTTCGATGTGGCCCATGTGTCCGGGACATTCCTGCATCTTGAGGCAGGTACCACAGGGATCCATGCACCGGCCGTAGGAGCCCATCCGGATGTCGTACAGACCACCGGGCATCGCATGTCCCAGTGCATCGAACGTAATGCCCGTGATCACCTTCACCACGCTCAGCTTGTGGATTTCCTGGTCGGTGAACACGGCAAACTCAAGATCCGAGGGGAACATGTGCACGTTTATCGGCCGCCTGGAACCCATTTTGACCGATTTAATTCACGTTTCTAGTCTTAAATCAAATACAAATCCTAGCGCAACGAGATCGCACGTGTGTGGCTATTAGAGGTGAAACCACACCGATTATAACAATAAACTGGCCTATCGAAAATTCTTTTCGACCGTGGAGGGCGCATCTCTAGCGAAACAGCTGGTCTGCTTTGTGTTGACAAAAATTGTTTTTTATTGGCGTTTGTTTTTAAAAGCAAAAACATGCTAACTTCCATGGTTAAGGAGCACCACAAGGAGCAGGTGAAGCGGAAACAAGAGCAGGGTATGGAGTTTGTTTAGGAACCTAGCTTAAAAAGTAAATATAAACTGTCTTTCCAGAGGTGCGACGCAAAGAGGCCATAGAAGCCTCCAATGAGCTAACCCAATCCCTGGTGGACACCCTTAATGTAGGCGTGGCGCAGGCCTACTTGAACCAAAAGCGTCTGGACGCGGAGGCCAAGCAACTGCACATGGGTGCCACCAACTTCGCCAAACAGACGCACCAGTGGCTGCAGCTCATCGACAACTTTAGCAGTGCCTTAAAGGAGCTGGGAGATGTGGAGAACTGGGCACGCAGCATTGAGGGGGACATGCATGTAATAAATCAGAGCCTGGAGCTGGCCTACAAAGCCTCGCGAGCGGCCCAGGCTACAGGTCCTCCTGTGGAGGCCTCGACTTCAGCCTCAGCAAATGCCACATGAGAATTTATAGGTTTCTTCTCAAAGCATTTTGTCAGATGATTCATAATTGGAATTATTGTATTCTACTCGTATACAAACGAGCGCTTAATCAGTTAGTCTACAATTAAATAAAATGAAAATTAAGAGTAGCCAGAATTATCTTAACTGAAATGGCACTTTTTGTTTTAAAATTGAATTTTGTTAAGTAGTTTTTTGCTGATCTCTACTTAATTTTATTAGCCAAAACATTTTATAAAGCTAAAACCCATGCCTTGTGCCTTCTGTACTGCTAGCAATTAAGGCTAACAACCATAGCAAATAGAAGCACCTATCTCGATTTCTGTACAATTTCAATTTTATTTTGTACTTGCTGCACAATTACAATTATAATTAAAATTAGTTTAGTTTTGTTATCATTATCAGTTTGCTGCGGTTCCTTTAAAATACATATCACAATCTATGCGGACATCTGTATGTAATGATGGTAATTGATTTGATATTTACAAACTACGTTTTTGTACAGCAACAGTAATCGTTAACGAATAATTATAATAAGAATCTGTTTTTGGGTGGATGATGAATTTGGAAATTAGTCTAGTTGTGAGCTGCTCGCCAACCAAATGCCATAGATGGGATGGTTTCACCAAAAACACAATATTTCAGTCGTATGCTCCTCCGCAGGCCGTTTTACAGAATCCAGCAGGGCCGATATAGGAGCACGAGTTAAGGAAGTGGCCCCATTACCTGCAGGGGTCACTAATAGCGCGTTGGGATACGCCCTTATTTGGAAATATATACTGGATAAATTCGTGATTCGTGAAGATTATCGAAGCTTTTACTTACGAGTTTGGGGAGAACGTGAGCGGCTGTAGCTTCTGCTGCGATTGTAGCGGATGCGACTAGAACTGGTGCGGTTGCTGCGGTCATAGCGATCGCTACGGTAGTTATTGCGCTGACGATAGTTGTCATTCGGTGAGACAGAGCGGTCCCGACGGCGCCCGCCTGCCCGGGGCGAGCGGGAGCGGCCTGAGTGTCCACTGCGCGATGGACGACCCATGTAGACACCTGGAGTGGGTGTGTGGGCGCGTTGGGTTATAGAGTAGTCAACGCGAATGCGACGATCATCCACCTCAATGCCAGAACAGGCGTCCTTGGCCACACGGGCATCGTCGAGATTCTCAAAGTAAATGAAGCAGAAGCCCCGCGAACGATGTGTCTGTACAGTATTAGATTTAGAAAATTATTTGTGTTAAAAAAAAAAATATATTAATTTGATTTAGAGGAGAATTTTGAATGAATAAAAAACTTGAACTGTAGTATAAAATATACTCTTTGGGCAAGTTACTTTGAATTATTAACTATGGCCCGGTAAGCCACAAAAAAATAGTTAAAATTTATACGTGGATGTGACAGCAAGCCTTTAGCTTATAGTTTGGAGTACACAAAAGCTCACAATCGCTGTCTACTTTAATCTAGCCGAAAACGAGAACAAAACTGCAAGACTTCAAGCCGATTAGTATGTTCAACTGCATTCTGGCAGGAGGTATCTTTACGATGACTGAGAAAATTTCTTACATGAGCGTCGATGACCATCTGGATTCGCTCGATGGGTCCGTACTTGTTAAAAAGCTCGCGCACCTTGTGCTGCGTGGTGTTGGTGTTCAGACCGAAAACTCCAATGCAGCGACTTGCTTGTGGGTGTTCCTGGTAGAAAAAAACCTTCTAATTAGGCTGTAGTAGAGGGCAGAAACACTTACGCGTGCCTTGTGCATTCGCTGGCGATCTCGGGATGTGCGTCCGGAATGATGGCGAGGTGCCGGACCCGGCGACCCAGAGACGGAACGCGAACGGGAACGCCGTAGAGAGCCGGAGCGCTGTTGGCGACGGCCGACATAGTAATCGAAGTCCAACCTTGATTTTGTGTAGAATGGAATGAAATTAGATTTGCTGTTCGTTCTTGCAGGTCTTGCTAACTGACAGGTTGAAAATTGTGTATTTTGTGTGGCTTGACAATTTCTATTGCTTAATTCAATTCAATTCGATCTATTTCGGACCTATTCTTCGGCTGTCGGGCGAGCAAAACAAATTAGTGCTGCGGATTGGTTTCTTACATAGCGAGGTAGTTTTCTTCCAAAAATAAAGGAAATCCGCTGTCTTTTTTGAATTAGTTTTTGGCTAGAGCAAGGACCTTCTCTGATGAAAGGCGAATCCAAATGAAAGGCCGTAAATGACAATTGAATACTTTTCTAAACTGCCAGACTACTCGATGCTCGGTGTCAAAAATTATCGTGTAGGGGGGCACACATGCATCTGTGTGTACACATTTACCGGCGGTCCTTGTGTCCGGAGGAAGTTGTCCTGGCTGATGAGGATGACGCCGACCGTTTGTGGTTGTAGCTATTGCTACAATTAAAATTCTCAACACTTGGTCTTTTAATGTAAATAATGTTTTGCTTACCTGTCAAATTTGCGTGGTAAATAGTTTCGCTCTTCGGAGGAACGCGAGGACTTTTGTGGCGAAAAAACGTATTGTTATTGGGTTTGCACTTTGCAATAATCTAGTTTAAGGCACTCACCATCTTTAAGGGTTTGATTCCCTGCTATATTGCACAGCCAGACAGTGTTTATTAATTAAATGTTGGCTTGGTTAATGTTATTTATTCTGTCTGCGTTTGAGAAGACGCACGCTTCGGCTGGGGTGACGATAGACGAGGACGTGTTATCGATAAGTCTTTTAACCCTTGTTGGCCTTTGTACTTTAATTCGAACACAATCAAAAAACGTTAGTTCAAATAGTTTTTCAATTTTTTAAAACTGACTTAAAACTATATGAGCTATGATCAGGTCAAAACCATTTTAAAATAATAATTTTATTAACAATTTTTAAATAATTTCTACCTCTAAGATTAGCTAATTGTTCGTTTTCAATTTAATCCAAGTTGTTGTTGATTTCATGCAAAGAAAATTTTGACCTTTATTACGCTTTCAAATTCCTATTAATATTACAGGTTTCGGTAAACAAAGAACTCACTTTCTGGTTCTGCTAATACCTTTAAGGCCACATTTATTTTAGTCATTTTAAATCTATATCACAGGGTTAGTCGATAAACATTATTTATATCGCGCAAACCACATATTTTTCACCATCACATAGTTATACAGCCTCTGCTGTTCCAAGTGGTGCAGATCCGTTATGGTTTTGACCACTCGCTCGTCGTTGAAGTGACTTTTGGGAGGTGCCTCCAGCAGATTTCCCGTCGTAAACCACTTGAGTTCCGAGAAATGCTTCTTTACCGCAGCCCGTAGAGCAGCTCCACTGAATACCGGCGTCCGATACAGGTCGAACATATTCTTCTTGCCATACTTCTGGTGGATCTCATCAACGGTTTTGTCCAGTTCCGGCTGTTTGCAATAGTATATGACCCACAGCTTACGCTCTGGAGCCCTCAGATCATTTAAACTGAGGACGCCAAAGAACTCCACAATGTATGGATTACATGTTGCGGATTCTTTTGGTTTAATGTAGAAAATGTGCCTCAAATGAGAGTCGATTTCCTCTTCCAGATCGTAATCAGTTCCTGCAAAAGCAAGTATTAATCATCATCTGTGTCCGACTATAATATATGATAATTTACCTGAGTTTTTGTCTTTTATTACGTTGGTTGTCATTTTATTTTACAATAAGGTAGCTCTTGCTTCTTTCTTCTATATGAGAACTAATTACTCACGCACTCTGCTTAAATAGCCAAAAAATAATATTTCAACTCTCCCGTAATAAATAGCTTTTGTTTTGTTTACGATGTTCAATTTCACAATATAGAAAATATATGTATGTAGCTTTTCAAAGCAACTCTGCTGGTTATCGATAAGCACAAAGCTTTTAATTTTATTTATTTACATATTTAATGCCGTTCAGGACGTGGTTTTTGATCATTATAACGCTTAAACCAATCGTGCTGATCCATTATATAGTCAAACAGCCTTCTTTGCTCTTTATCATGCAATTCTGAAACTGTTTTCACGACCTTCTCATCGTTATAATAGCTAATTGGAGGGGCTTCCAACAGGTTACCTCTACTTATCCACTTTAGATGGCAGAAATAATCTTTAACGATTTTATGAAAACCCACTCCGCTAAATGTGAGCTTTTGATATATCTCATACACATTCTTCCTGCCAAATTTCTGGCGTACCTTTTCCACCGCACCTGAAATTTCAGGACGCAAGCAATAATAAATGTACCAAAGTTTTCGGTCGGTGGCCTGGGGATCTTTAACACTAAAGACTCCAAAGTACTCCATCGCAGAAGGATCCAACGGAGTGGGTTCTGATACAGGCTGCATGTAAAATAGACGACGACAGTACTTTTCCAATTTATCTTCCAATTTTTGTTCAGGTCTATTTCCAGCTATAATTAAACATTAACAATCATTCAAATCTTCAGTGACTCATAAGCTTTACCCATTGAAAATCATGCGGTTATTGTCACTACCAACCCAAACAAACTTTAACAGAACACTGGTGAGCATTAATTTGCAGTCTTGTTTTTATAGCTCTGTAGAAAAAAACTTATGTAATAATAACAGTAGCATCTGTTATGCATTAAGATGTACATAGGTCCATGTCTTATATACATTGTTCCTAGATACTAGAAAATCATAGTATTTTCTTCGTTCGGCCTGGTACAAATCTGCTATTGTGTTTACCACCTTCTCATCATTGTATGGGCTGTCGGGAGGAGCTTCCAAAACATTTCCTTTTGCATACCACTTCAGAGCTCCAAAGTGGTTTTTAACCCGGGATCGCATTCCGGCTCCAGAATATACTGGCTTTCTAAACAATTCGTACATGTTCTTTTGGCCATATTTACGATGAATTCGATCCACAGTTTGATCCAACTGATCACTTGTTGCATAGTACATGTACCACAACTTACGCCGGGGAGCCCGAACATCTGTTAGGCTGAGAAGCCCAAAATATTCCACTTCCAGAGGATCATACTCATTCGTTGTCTCGATTCCTTTAAGGCAGAAAACTCTTCGCATATACGTCTCCAATCGCTTTTCCAAGTCGGGATAGGCACCTTCAAAAGAAAGTTATTATTATAATATGCAATTTATCACAAAAACCTATTTAAACTTACTGTTGGGTGTGTTCATAGCTTCTTCGTTAGATGTTGTCATCTCAGATATCTTGTATTTAATAAATATGGTTCTTCCCCTGAACTTCTTTTATACACAACAACTTGTTTATATTTCATAACAGCTTTGCCATTTCGCCACAAACTTAAAAAGCTGTGATAAAAGCTTTTTGGCGCAACGTAAAACATCAATGCAACTATGATTTTCAAAAAACTTTGCAAAAAAATTATGCATGATTTTTAATAAAATGATTGAATTTCCATTTATTTTAAAAGCGCGTTTCTACAAAAATATACAGTTTTTTTCCCTTCTCAACGCCATTTTCTCAAAAAAATATGTATATAGTTTTTTCATAACCAAGCATTTAAGTGGTTACTATATTAATTTGTTAAGTTATAATATACATATAAATATGCACCTATACACTACAAAAACGAAAAGTGGTTACAATATTGATCCATTTATTTTTTGAAAAATTACCGGATGGTGCGAAAGGTTTAACAAATTCTTCATAATAGAATTATATAATTCTGTTCTTGCGTTCAACGAAATAATTAACTCTGCTTAATTAACTGTGTTAAAGTAACTTAGAATACTTTCCATCTAGATTATAGTCTTCACCCCACTAGATAATAATTTCCGAAGAATCGTCCAGTTCGCCCTTGATCTCCGCCTCCATGGGCGCCACGGTATTGTTCGTGTCGGGCAGGATGCTCTCCTCCGGCTGCGAGGCCTGATTGATGATAAACACATTCGGATTGCTGGTACTACTGAGACTCATTCCGGCGGGAGCTAAGGATTTGGCAACGGGAGCGACACCTGGAGTTGTACTTGGTGTCGCCTTTGGCTTAGCTGAAGCTTGCGCAGTTGGTGCTCGCGAAGCGGGGAATCGCGTAGCCGGCGATCGCGTGGCTGGTGATGACGTAGCTGGTGATGGTATCGTCTTGGTCTGGGTGGCTGTCCTTACCGGCGTGGTCTTCTTCTTGCATAGCACCGGTTTTTGCACAGGTGTTGGCGGATTAATCGACAACATAGTGCCAGGAACGGCCCTCTTTTTGGCGACTACTTTTGGTGACGGTATGGTCATTGAAACAGTTGTCTTCAAGTTCACAATCTAATGGGTAAAGAATGGTTTTTAAAAATGCAGACTTGCTATTTGCAAAATATTGCTACCTGGCTTGGGTCTTCTCCTGTTTTTTTCTTGGCTCCCATCGAGACGTTTCGTGGCGCCAAATTAGCTGCCGCTGCTGCTGAGGATGTTGAGGGTCCCAGTGGAGTGCTGGTAGCAGCGGGAAGGGCATTTCGACCTGAAGTCGGTGTTGCGGTTTTCGCTTTCGGGTTGGGACACTGAAAGCCAATGATGTTTTTCTCGGCATCGAAAAGGGGAACGCTGGCGGGGAGCGAACTGCGCTGCTGAGCATGCTGCGTTGTCTTCTTGGTGGCCTGCGTTGGCGTAACGGAGGCCATGGTGGAGCTAACGACGTTTTTGGAAAGTGGCGAACTGCTAGCTGCCACTGAACTCGAAGGATTTTCTACTGCAGCACCGACGGAAGTCATCGGCGTGATAACCGAGTTGAACCGGACCGGCGGCAAAGGCGTTATCGTGTTGGTGGCCTTGTTCAAGTAACGCACGTAGTTCTCCAATAGCTTGGTACCCACATCCACGTCGATGGCCATCACCGAGCTGGTCCTGACGATCTCCTCGATGGTGCGCTGTCTCTCAGCCAGTGTCAAGTTGGAAACTCGCCGGCTAAGTGCCTGGAGCACCATATCAAACACCTGCACTCGCGTCTGCAACTCCACGCGCTGCTTGTCCGTGGGACAGATCGGTGGCAACTGGATGAGCGACGGCGGCAGGGTGGCCAGCATTGAAGTGCTGGCTGTTGGCGGGAGGGTTGCCCCTGGATGCAGAACCTTCTTGGTCAGCGTAGTGCCACGGGGCAACTGTTTGGTTAGGGAATCCAAGATAGCTGGAGATGAAACCTCTGCAGGAGTGGGGTTGGATAGAGCAATTGGAATACTAGAGGGAGCTGGAATCGGTGGGACAGCAGGAGAAGGTAGGCTCAAGTCGCCAGGAGGAGCAGGAGGAAAACTTTGTATTATCGAAGTAGGCGCTGGAGTAACTGAACCATCCAGAGCGTTGGCGGGAACATCTTCTCCAGAAGCCAGATTGGAAACCGAAGCAACTGGCTCTCTGGAATCTTGTACCTTATTTCTGCCCAGCAATTCCAGCTTAGCTCGCACCTTGCTTGGAATATTCTTGTCCGCCTTGGAGATAAACTTGGTGGTGATGACCAGGAACTGTGGCACTTCCAACACCGGTACCTCAGCCGTCGAATGCAAACGCGTAAAATCAATGGCTCGCATCGGTCCGTCCAGATTTGGGCAGCAGAAGTCCAGGCCCACGTCGTCATAGGATCGCTTATAGCGCTTCGGGTATAGGAAGGAGAACATCTTGGTTTGGCCAATGCCATTGGGATTATTGCTAGGGGCACTGGCCGAGGGAATCGAATGGGAAACACTCGCGCCAGAGGAAACCGTTGCCAAGTTGTTGCTTTGAATAGCTGGAGGACCAATGGTTTCAATTACCGGCAGTGGTTGAGGTGCTTCTTCCGCTGCAGCAACCGTAGGCAATACCGAAAAGGGATCTTCTTCCACAATCTCCGGGGGAGCATCTTCTGGCTCTGACTTCACCTCTGGAATTGGCACTGGAAGTGGCATTGACTTGGCGTGAAACATCTGCACTCTTCGCTGGTTTTCCAACTTCTGCGCACTGTCCAGCAACGGTGCCTTGTCGGAAAGATGTTGTTCAGTCAGTGGATATATAGCTGTCTTCGTGATTGCCTTGACTGGTACTGGAACTACCGGCAGGACTTCTGCAGAATCGGAAAGGAGAGCAGGAGCTGCCGATGGAACATGAGCTGATTTGGGAGCGAGCAGAGTTGAGCTTTTTCTTACTGGCAATTCAGGGGCTGTAGTTGGAGGATTAGGTTCAGGCTGGGATTCAGGCACTGCCTTAAACACAGCCGCCGGCTCTGTCTGAGGAGGCAACATTGATTCTGACATTGACTCCGCCGCAGAATCCGTTTCCGATGATGCTTCCGGTAGTGGAGGAGGTGACGGTAATTTTTGAGGGGCGTCTTGTTTCTCTTGGTTCTTCTCTCGTGTCTTCGATAGCCAATTGTTGAAGATTCGTCGATTGATTTTAACGCAAAGTTTGCGTAGCTTAGCTTTCGGGGGAGCGTCTTCAACTGTAGAAGGAACTGCGAGAGGCTCTTCTGAAGAAGCCAAACTGGCAGCTGTTATTTTAACTGGGAAAGCCACGGGCAGGATCTCTTGGCCAGGATCTTCTTGATGTTGCATATCCTCTCCCTGCAGCTCTCTTGGTCGCTTCGGATTAACTCCTTCTATTGCCTCTTCAACTTCCACTGCCTTTCTTTTTGGTGCGACTGGCACGCGCCTAATTTGTCTGCCACGCAAGGACTGGGATTCCTTAGGCTCTTGTTTTTGCTCTGAAAAGGGTGAAAAGCGGTCCTTGGAAGCATTCCTCTGCCTTCCGGACATGGGAGCTGGCGTAGCAGCCAATGATCTATTGCTGCTGGTAGCTCGAGTCATGTGAACCGATTTGCCGAGTGCAAACTGGCGGTGGGTCACTGACACATTTTGATCTTGTTTATCCGTGCGGGACTTACGAGCACTGTCGTCGCGGGAGGAATCCCTTGAGTCAGATGTAGTTTCGGAAAGTCCAGGCTTGCCCCTCGACTTTCGCTGCTCCTGTTTGGCTCTTTTGGCTGCTCCGCGGCCCCTATCGGTTGCCCCGATTTCCTCGGCTTTGACATCCCTGGCAATTTCTCCGACCACAACAGCTTTAGAAGCATCTGTCGATATTTGCATTCCAGTTTGTTGTGTGACATCTGTTTGCGGAAGTGGTTTCGGGTCATTCAAATCTAACGCAGCTACTTCAGATTTTAAGGCTTGAAATTTTTTGGATCGGTTAGCTTGAGGCGCAGCTTTACGAGGATTAGATTCTGTGTGCAATCCCTGTGACTTCCTGCTTTCGGGTTTCTTTGGAGCCTCCGACTGTGAATTTTGTTTTCGGCCTCTTACAACTGAAGTAACAGATTTCTTTGATGGTTCAGTAGCTCTCTCCAAATCTAGGGAATCATTTAATACGGCCTTTTTCTTGGCCTCTGCTTTTTTATTGGCCTCAACTTTCTTAATGACCTCATCCTTCTCACTAACCACTTTCTTACTGGCCTCGGCTTTTTTAATGACGTCATCCTTTTGAAAGACTTCAACTTTCTTATTCGCCTCCACTTTCTTAGTGACATCATCCTTCTTATTGGCCTCCACTTTCTTAATGACCTCAGATTTTCTGGCCATCTTCTTCGTCTCCAGCTGTGCCTTTCGAGGCAAAATGGGTGAAGTTTCAGGAGTGGCGGCAGGTGATTTCGATGCTTCTGCAGCTGCTTCCTTGGAAGGCACCACGGAAACAGATATGTTAACTTTTCGTGGAGCAGCCGACGAGCCCTCCTCCTTGAGAGATTCATTTTTCTTAGTGGCTGGCAAGGATTTCCTAGTGACCACAATAGAGCTCCCTAGGATCGGCTGATCGCTCGCTCTGTTCTTTTCTGTTTCCGACTTGTTTTGTGTTTTTCTAGTGGAAGTAGAAGATACATCGTCTCCCGATGATGGTTTCTGCAGACTGAGAGTAGAACTCAGTAGTGTCTGCACCATAGGCTTCTTGGTCGCCGGACTTGGACTTTCTGGGTTCAACTGCTTCCTGGCAGGTGTTGCTACTATGATATGTTTCGTGACCAATTCTTGTTTTGGTGTCTTCACTGCCGACTTTGTAACAGCTGGTGATGTTTCGCTTCTGGTTTCTTTTATAGGTGCTGTCGTTGACGACATGATGGTTTCATTACCTATAATAGAGATGAATTTGCCTTTCACATTGGATTTCGCCTCCGATTCAATTTTGGAACGTTTAAGAGTAGGAGGCTCTTCTTCATCCAGTAGGTGACGACGGCGAACTGAAATTAAAGTTAAAAATGTTTCATATAACATTAAAGTTCAAGTTATTCGACGACAATTAATTAGCTGCTATTTCAAAATCATGAAGCTATTATGATACTGATAAACAATATAAATAATGTTTACCTGGTTTAGCATGGTCCTGCCTCTCCGTGGCCGACTTCTCCCTTTGCTGCAGTTGCTTTCGTTTGGCCGCTTCTAAAGGAGAAAAAGAAAAGATACATTAGAAGGGTTCCCATACTGATACGACGATGAAATGAAAAGATTGGGCAAGCTATTAACCATCTGGTTGTGAGGAATCCGCTTCCCGCTTGCGCAAGGTGCGCTTCACCATGCTTGACGTACTGGCTTCGGCTTCGTCCGTGACACTAGTTGTTTCCGTTGAGTCTGGTATTGGGCTTTGAGCGGGCTCTTGAGGGTCAACCGATTCTACATTAGTTATCTTCTTTTCCAGGTCATTTTCAGAATCCTCCTTTAAGGATTCGGCTGAAGGAGCTGAATCCACAGAAGGAGCTGATTCCGCCGAGGGAGCTAATTCATCTGAGGAAGCTGAATCCGCTGAGGAAGCTGATTCCGCTAAGAGAGCTAATTCCGCTGACGGGGCTGATTCCGCTGAGGAAACTAATTCCGCCGAGGGAGCTGATTCCTCGATTAAGGTTTCCTTATCTGGCTTTTGATCTCCTGATGTTCCTTCTCTTGGTGTTTCTTTTTCTAGTTTTTCCTCTTTCGGGCTATGCTCTTTTGGCGTTTCGTCTTTTGTATTTGCCTCTTTTAATGTACTATTCTCTAAAGGCGCATGAGTTAATGAATTGGACTCCAGTGTTTCATTGTTAGGAAGCACATCTGCTGTCTCTTTTGCTAAGACGTCCTCAGAAGAAAACTTAGTGATAGCTTTATCACCGTCGGCAGAAATTTCTTTGTCTTCAGATACTTTTTTCGGATCTGTTAGTATACCCTTTGGTTCATTCTCAGTGTCGTTAGCAGATTTCTTAGGAACTTCTTTATTTAGGATTTGCTGAGGTTCAGGAACATTATCCGACTCAGAAACAGTAACGGGAACCGAATCTGGAACAGGATTAGTCTCAGGATTATTGTTAACAGAAGAAATGGCCGGATCAATATCACATTTCTCTGGAGATGGAGTTTTTTCTATTCTTTCAAGAATTTTCCTAAAACGCTTTATTTTAATTGGAGATTTTTTCAAGACGGAAGATTTCTGTGTGCTTTTAGGCCAATTGGAAGTGGGAGTTCTCTTTATCAAAACGCGAAGCTTGCGGCAGGAGACTGAGGGAGTATTTAGTTCTCTTTGGTTTGTAGAGGTCAAGGATTCGGCAACGGCTTTGGGACTTTTCTCCGAGTTGTTTTCCGACTTCGCAGTTTCCTTTGGGACGTTACGTTTGGATTTGGAAGATCCTTTAGCTGGAGTTATCTTTTTGGTTTGATCACTGTTTGCTGTAGAGATTGTTGGAAAATCTTCAGATGTAGATGTAATCGTAGAAATAGTCTCCGAAATTTCTGAATTTGGTTCGGTAGCTAGTTCTGGTGGTGTTATGTTTGATAATGTGATTTTTGATTCGCTTAGTTTTTGAACATTTTTTAAAGTGTCAAAAGTGGACATGGAGGGTACTTGGTTTCTTGTACTCAGTAGGTACGTTTTCGTTGGTATTTTTGTTTTAGGAGAACGGTGTTCGGTTTCAAAAACTAATGGTGAGGGTTCCCGCTCACTAGAAATTAAACCGGCAGGGGTATCTTTTTTGTCTAGTTCAGTATTTAGAATGGCGTTATCGTCTTCTGGATCCTCAACGGTAACAGCTTGTCTACGTTTTCTGATTCTTCCGCTTTCTATTCCAGAGACTTTGGGCTTATCTTCCAACTCTATCGAGTCCTTTTCTGTTGAAGAAGTAGGTTGAACTGTTTTTGCCTCTTGATTATCATTAGAAATGTTCTCCTTGGGTTTCTTATTATCTTTTTTACCCCTGCTCTTGGATATTTGTTTTGAAACCTTGGCCTTAGAAATATCCTTTGCCGAGTCTTTCGAAATTGTGTCAGAGTCCTTTTCAGCAGAAGATGTTAGTTTATCTGCTTCCGTATTTAAATCTAAACCCAGTTCTTTATCAGATTCAGAAATCTGCTCATTGTATTTCTTTTCATCCTTCTTGGCTGAATCTTGTGTCAAGTCTTTTGAAATTGGTTCTGAGTTCGGACTGGAAATAAAGTCTTCCATTTTATCCAATTTAATTCCTGATTTGGTAGAAGACGAATCGTGCTTTTGAGTTTTAGTCGCCTTGTCTCTGCGAATCGGTCTGCCAGAGCTTCGCTCCTCTTTGTTGTTAACAGAATCACTTTGCGAAGTTACTGACTTAACATCAGTTAGGATGCTGCTTGTCGAGAAAGGATTCTCCTCAATTTTAGTTTCTGTATGGTCAGTGGTGCTGCTCGAAACGGCTTCCATTATATCCAATTTAGTCTCTTGCTTTTGTATGTTGTTAATTGATTCGCCTTCAGTCAAATTTTGCTCAGGATCTGGTTCTTTTTCATTGGAATTGACATTTGGTTGGCTGTCACTGTCAGATTCTTCTTCTTTGTTTTCAGGTTCTTCCTTTTTTTCTGTTTCTTCTTTTTTTTCTGTTTCCTTTTCCTCTTTTGTCGATTTTCGCTTTCTTTCCATGACGGTTTTGTTGGCATCTGGCTCTAATGCCTTCAATGACTTTTCTTTGGTCTGATCCTTTTTGGAAGGCCTTTCCTTCGAAAGTACTTTTTCACTAGAAGAATGAGATTTGGCAGAAGGCGATTCGTGCTTTTGGGACTTGGCCGCATCAATAGTCGCCTTGTCTCTGCGACTCAATCTGCCAGAGTTTCGCTCCTCTTTATTGTTGACAGAAACAGATTGCGGAATTTCTGACTTTACATCAGTTTCCGTACTGCTTGTTGTGGAAGGATTCTCTTCAGTTTCAGCGCCTTTATGGTCGGTGGCGGTTTTGCCTTGAACTTTTTCTTTTTCCTTTAACGGTCTACGGAGTTTCCTGGGACTGAACGAGTTTTTCTCAACATGTTCTGTATCAATCTCTTCCAATTCGGAGTTTTCTAAAAGGGATTTGCTATCATTTACAGGTGGGTCTGAAGTGTGAAGGTTTTCCCCCTTTTCGTCTTTCTGCTCCGACTCGCTTGAGGTTGAAAATTCTTCAGCACACTTTGAAGTAGAACGAAGCTCTTCGTTTAAATCTGCAGTATATTTATTCCTTCCTGCTCCACGACTCCTTAAGGATTGTTTCGATTTTGATGGCTTACCCATCACCTTTTCCATTTCAGCCTCACTAGAGCTTGGCTGTTCTGCCATTTTGGAAACATTTACTGGTCGGTCTGAAGGTGGTTGGTTTTCCTCCTTTTCGTCTTTCTGCTCTGTCTCGCTTGAGGTCGAATATTCTTCAGCACACTTTGAAGTAGAACGAAGCTCTTCGTTTAAATCTGCAGTATATTTATTCCTTCCTGATCCACGAGTCCTTCTGGATTTTTTCGACTTTGATGGCTCTCCCATCGACTTTTCCATTTCAGTATCCGTGGAGCTAGGCATTTTTGCCACTTCGGAAGCATCTTCAACTGGAGCACCTTCAGATTTTGTAGCTTGATTTACATCCTTAGTTTCAGTATCAGATGGAAACGATTTGTCTTCTAACGCATTGACATTTTCAGTGGTTAACTTTTCCTTGACCAACTTGGAAGTTATAACTTTCTTTTCCACCGGCGAGCGTTCTTGGGAAGAGTGACTTTCCGCTGGAGATCTGCCCAATCTTGGACTACTTCGCCTCGATGTCTCATCCATAAGTTGAGTGAGTTCGGTCTTCAGCGGCCGCTTGGAGCGACTTTCCCGTTGGTTAATAGGAGTTGTTTTATCGGACCTGAGAGCCCTTCTGGAAATCGAACTTTCCTTAAATTCCAGCTCCCTCGATTTCTTGGGCGTATTAGCTGGCGAAGAATTATTTCGTTTCTTGGTAGTTGTTACTTGGCTAAGAGGAACTTCGGAACAAGGCAAGGAATCTTTTTCAGGTTCTTGACCTGTTTCTTTTGCAGCAGGTTTTGGCTCTTGAATGGATATCTGCTCTTTAGCAGGAGACAGGTCTTTAGCAAGAGACTGCTCTTCAGTAGGTGGCTCGACTTCAGCAGGTTGCTCATCTTCAGTAGAAGGTGGTTCTTTAGTAGAGGGTGGTTCTTCAGTTGAAGGTGGTCCTTGAGTAGAGGGTGGTTCTTCAGTAGTAGGCGGTTCCTCAGTAGAGGGTGGTTCTTCATTAGAGGGTGGTTCTTCAGTAGAGGGTGGTTCTTCAGTAGAAAGCGGTTTTTCCGTAGAAAACTGTTCTTCAGAAGAAGGTGGTTCTTTAACTGGAGTCTGTTTTTGAACTGGACATTCTTTAATGTCTAAAGGAAGTTTTTCAACTGGATCTATTTCTTTGGGTTGACTGTCTTCTTCAGCAATTCCTACGACTTCTGAAATAGTTTCCTGCTCTAGCTCCTTGACAATTTCAGTTACAGGATTTTGTCCACCTTCTACTGCCTCTGATACCTCAGTTACTTCAATTCTTTTGCCCACTTCAGCCGCCAAAATCTCTTCAGCCAACTTAATATCCTCAGCCAACTGGGAATCGCTTTCTTCAATAATGATTCCAGTAACCTCATTTGCATGGGTGAGCACAGTCGGTATTTCGATTTCAACAGTAGCTTCAATTGCATTTTGTATTTTATCCAATTCCTTTATTACATCGTGATTGGGTTGCCTAGTAGCTTCAACGGTAGAATCCTTTTGAGTTTCCTCTTCTCCTAAAATTAAATCCTTATCTTCGATCATTTCGTTGTGATCCTCTGCCGTATCAAAGGTATCCGTTGATGTGTCCAGTAAACCAAGCGCTTCTTTTTCGGGATTTTGCTCAGACTCTTTATCCAGCTGCACATCCCTGTCCGGAGCACTTTTGAGATCCGATTTGTGCGGACATGAAGTCATGCTAATATCATTCTGGGTAGTGTTATCACCTCCTGATAACTCTTTGGCTGTATCTAATTCTGTATTTAGTTCATCATGCTCTTCCAGATTAACCGTCTCCTTTTCCGCTTTCTGTTCGCTAGTTTTTGATAAAAGAGAATCCTTATCCAAGTTTTCGCTTGAATTTTTACTAGACTCAGCTTTTGGCGTCTCATTTGGAAAATATTTGCGGGGCCTTCCGCGTTTTCTTTTGACCGTGTCTCGCTCCCCTTCCGACACATTAGCCATCTTTTCCTCAGTGGTTGCAGCTCGACTTTTACGATTCTTTTGCCCTCGGGAGCGTCCTCGTTTTGGAAAAGATTCGCTCTTTGACCGCCGCAGCTTGGACCCTGAGGGCTCACAGGTTTCCAACCGTTCGCTCGAGTAGGTAAGCTTGCGCACATGGCTCTTGCTTAGGCTAGAGGACGTGCTGGGATCCGCTGGGTTCTTAGATCTAGATCTGCTGCGCGTTTTGGAGCCGGAGCGCTTTTCGAACTCGTTAGAACGCTCCACATCGATCTCTAAGATCTGTTCGGCCAGGTCAAGGCTCATGCGCTCCACCGCCTCGAGCGTGACGGTCTTATCCACGGCACTCAGCTTCCGACTGTCGCTGTTCTTGCTGGCCGAGGATTTGGCACTGCTGCTGGCCTTGCTGGCCGAGGATTTGGCACTGCTGCTGGCCTCCAGTGGCCCCAGATATTCCTCCTGCTCCTTTTCCTCCGCTTTTTCTTTGTCACTGGCTGTGAAACAAAAAGCAGAAAGAGTTACAAATGTAAGGGCGTGGCAGGTTTAGGGGTTCACGGAGGCGCTCATGGTCGAAGAATGGACGCCCCAATGGACATCGGTGCACACTTACCCGCTGATCGCTCATTAGCATGCTTAACCTGTTCGGAGGAAGGTTTCTTTTCATTGGAGCGGGATTTCCTAGCACTACTCTGTTTCTTATAAATTGGAGGCGCCTCGGCGCAACTGAGATTATTCAAGTACGACTGCAGGCGCTCAAAGACACCGCTCAGTACCGACTCCTGATCATTCTCAGGATGGTCATTCTGTTTACTCTGCGGCTCCTGGCTCTCGTCGTCGGAAACAACAGGTGTCACGGTGTCTACACGGTTTGTGTTTTTACATATGATGAATATTATCAGAGGGTTGGCAGTATCAACTAGTTATTAGCGCTAACTTACCCGCCACCGATGTGGTCCTGCTCGTGTCCGTTGAAATGTCGATGACCGGTTCGGCGTCCTCGTCCTCTGAGTCGCGATCGCCGTAGAAGTCCGATTCGTACTCGTACGATGAGTCGCTTTCTGAATCCCCATCGTAGTCCCCCAACGCTATAGATATTATAAAGGATTAGGTATTAAAATGGCTGTGGTATAACTTACTGCAGTTCTTACTCAAAGGATCTGTTTTGGGTTCGTGCTGCGAAGGCGTTAGATTTGTCTTTTGGGCCTTTATTATGGTCACTGTCTTGTTTTTGGCGGATGACAGGCCACTCCCATTTATGGAGTCCGATGGCTTTGAGACTAAAGAGCTGGGATTCTTGTTCTTAGCACTTAGACTAGGGTTAGCAGCAGTTTTACTTGGGGAAGCAGGCAGTGGTTTGTTGCTGGTTGACTTGCCAAAGTTGCCACTGCTGCTGTTGCTGCCGCTCCTGTGTGGGGCTTCACCGAGTGATTTTCTGGCACCTGCCTGGGAAGTACTAGGCTTGGGTACAGTCAACCTCTGCGAGGGACGCATCAGGGCCGCACCTGGGATTGGGAATAGCATCATGTAATTTTGGGAATGTGTGTTTAATGGGGCATTAAGGATACCCACCCAAATCGTCCACCGAATCGAAGGACTCGTAGCGTTCGCGCCGCTTGTTTGGCTTCGACTTGAAAATATTCCGGCAGAACAGGGTTTCAAGGGCATCGTTGGAAACGTCACTGGAGGAGTATGGGGATGGGGAGCGGCGACGCCGGTCCTTGGACTTAGAGCCGGAAGTCTCGTCAAGCAGGTCGTCGTCGTCATTGTACTTGCCGTGAAAGAGCTTTTGGAAGATGTCCGCATCGATCGACGACGAGTTGCTCGAGTCTGACGAAATGCGACGCGGACGGGAGACGCCGGCCGAGGAAGCTGGCGGAGCACTGGTTTTGATCCCTGCAAACACACAAATTACACACAGATAGTACACATGCATATTTATAGCATTCTAAGGGAAAACGCACCTGGCAGCACCAAGTCTTTGTACTCGTCTAGATATTCGATGTCCTCCATGTTACACTTTCATGTGCGTCGGACAATTTGCGATTTCTCGGCTGCACCCCGTTTCATCAAAGGGACTCCGCGAACTATGATAAACTTATCGGAGTCTTGGGGGTACCGGATATATACCCATAAGAAGCACCAAGCCAAGCACTTATGTCTCTTTTTTCACCACAAAAAAAAACCCTTCGAAATCAAGCAAAAATGATGCCGCTGCAATTAACGTGAACGTAGTGCCGAAGTGCGAAAATGCCAAAGCGTGTGTCGAGCCCGCGCTTCGGTGTGCCCGTTGGGCGTTCTTCAATTTGTGCTCTAGTTTTTTCAGTGACTAGTACAATATTTACTTAATCTTATAAAGTAGGACGTTTCTAATTACTGTTAATTACTATTAATTAAGTTAATATTTGCTTAATGTGCGCCAAGTTTACTGCGCTTGCCCGGCAGTAAATCCTAAAAATACCACAATCACACAGTTACCATCGTTGCTATCGATATTAGAAACAACTGAGTCAAGCATTTTATTTTCTAACTATAATTATATATTTGATACCTAAAACTGCTCTTAATATTATTCATTGACTTTAAAAATAGTAAACTATGTTGCTTAATGGTAACTAAAATCAGAGCCTCAAATTTATTGCAATAATAGAAGACACAGATAAATAATTCAATACTTCAATTGAACATCCAATAGAAAGAATTGAGGCGTTTAATTTATTGCATGTATACTTAATTAATCAAAGACACAGACGAATAAATTAATACTTTCAAATACAGTCAGTTTATAAACATTCAAAGCCTGTTAAAGTCGCTTAATAAATTCATGCAATAAATTCACAAAATTCTAGGTTTTAACTTGAAGAAACCTTAGACCAAATTAAAAAGGCTCATCAAACGTTTTTATTCCATTTGCTTTTAACAAACACTCATAGCTTCACCATCAAAAACACATAAAATACACTTTGCCAGTAACATAAACACAAAAAGTAATTTAATTATTTTTAAGTAGCTCATAATAAATTTTAAATGAACCGATATTTGAGTGTCCCATCCCCAGCTGTCTAAAAACGCGATAGCTGTCAGCCCTGACACACGACCTATCGCCCGCAGTGTCACCACCAAAGTGACGTGGAACGAAAAAAGACGAAGCCACACGAAGCCGAGGCGAGCACGTCAGTTTCACAAGATTCAGATTCCACTTCGCCTGCTCACATTTTCCAGATCGGTCGGTGCAGAAAAACAAATAGCCTAAAATGGTGAGTTAAACTGAGAAGCAATTAGTGGCCCCGACTAATTGAAAACGTATTCACAGCCCGCTCCTGCAAGTTCAACGTCCGTGGGCAGCGGATCGCGCTCGCCCAGCAAATTGTCGGCGCCACGTAGCGCCGGATCCGGAGGCGGCAGCACCCTGAAGCAGCGAAAAACCACCAGCAGCACCACGGCGGCCCGAAGCCGTGCACCCGGCGGAGCTGGAACTGGTGGCATGTGGCGCTTCTACACGGACGACTCGCCCGGAATCAAGGTGTAAGTACTGCTAACTAACTATTTTTAAAGGCCCCCTACTTATGACACTCTTTACCCCTGCGTTATCCCACAGTGGACCCGTGCCCGTGCTGGTCATGTCGCTGCTCTTCATCGCTTCCGTCTTCATGCTGCACATCTGGGGCAAATACAATCGTTCTTAAGCCATTCAATTCGTAGCCAATAAAATACTTTCACCTCAACGAACGTGAGCACTGTCGACGTCACCATTTCTTTCGCGGCAAGATAACAAGAGACCCATTCCGCTTGTTGAGGCATTGGTGTTTTCCGCATGAAATTAATTATACCTAAGCTTAAGTTAAAGACGTGTTTAAGCGTAATGCATATTTTCAAAATTAATCGTACTTTTTCCACCCGCTTGTTGGGCTGGGAATCCATTCCACAATTTATCGTGGTCATGTGCATCAGAAATTCCGCGCGCAGCCGTTGCAATTCAAAATTTGTAAGACATTCAACGAAAAGTGTTAAGAACAAATAAATTTTGTATTAAACAAATGTTTTGTTTTGCATTTGGAAGTGGGTGTTTGATAAATCAATGATTTATCAAAAAATACACAAAGTAAATGGAACTCAGTACCTTTACAATCAAACTGTATATAAATCCATTCAACAAGTGCTCAAAACAAATACATTTCTTATAAAACAAAAAATATTTGTTGATTTTATTGGCAGTGCTTTAACAAAATATGGGGATTAGACAGACTGGATAGTTGTTTCGTTCATAAAATGATTTTCCCTGAAGTACTTTGTGCGGTGTGTGCATCTCCGTTCCCTGTGATTTTGTTTGCCGCACAACAAACAGCCCTTGGAGTGCTTCGACTTTCTATTTCGGAAATTAAGGCAACTGGTTTCGATGTGGCCCTTGTGACCACACAGCCAGCAGTGTTGTTTGGTTTGATAGAAGGAGCAGTTGTGCCCCTCTCTTTGAGTGCATCTCCTGCAATTTATGCAGTGCACATAGTTGGGTTTCACACAGACATCGCAGAACTGACAGTGCCTATATGATTGACCATTCACCGAGGCACATTTCCCGCAGCGATTGCAGTGGAGGTTCTCCTTGGCTGTGTGTAACTCACACTTTTGGCAGTACTTATAGCCCTCCTCCGCGGGCAATTGAAGCAATTTCAGTGGCACATTGGTGAACATTCGCACGGGTGATCCGCAAAACCGACTCTGTTTACCCACATTCGTGTATCTCAGGTGATTGGTGTAATTTATTCTGTAGTCGCACATTTCCATCTCCGGCATTTCCTGTCTGATGTGATTAGCTGAATAGTAGGGGTATATCCAGAATATGGATAGTGGTGTGGAGGGCAACTGATTGATTCTGTTGTGGAGTTTTCTTAGGCTGCGCAGGGTGTGGGAAATCAGTTCAGTGCGACAACCAAAGGGTGGATCCGTTACAATCAGCAGTTGATCCGAACTGCAATTTGGGATACCATCCAAATTAGAGCCACCAATACTAATGGGTTGATATATATTACCTGGTACCTTCCAGGAACTTTTCAAAGGGCTTGCGATTGTAGAAGAAGTGATTATTGCACATGTTGTAGAGGCAGAACTCCTCAGGTCCTAGATAGTCTGCAAATCGCTCATCAAGATCCAGTAGAAAACTTTTCAGTTTTTGGCGGAGGTGGAAATGTAATCGTGGTGCTCCCATGCAGATTATCTTGCTAATTGAAGGTTAGTGAAAGATTCGAGAAATTAGTACATTCACTCACCTAGCTCCTATATTTTTGCACTGATTCGCCAGGAAGTTTAGAGCAGCTTCATCAAAGAAATACTGGGCATTAACTTTGTCCTGGGATAGCGCAGTTAGGCTTAATGTGGGATCGGAAGCGGAAATCGGTAATTTCCCGGATGGTGAGGGATAGTCCTTTTCTGGATTTAAGTTTCCAAGGCTATGACCCTTCCACTGATCCGCCGGCAGGTGAAAATTGCAAAGTTTTGAGTCCCTGTGAGCTGAGCAGGCGAAATAACCCTCAATTGGAAGCTGAGATTCCCGGTAGAATAAAACCGTGGGTCCATGGTCGCAGCGGGGATGCTGATTTTCGGGATCAGCGTCATACTCCTCTATTTCGAGCAGTAATTTTTCGCCTTTATTTTCAAACATTCTGCAAAAACGTTTATTTTCGTCAAAGTAGTAAACAAACCGTGGAAGAAGAAGAGAAATACAGTGCTGTCTCTGTAAGGTGAAATTTTGAAAAGAATTAAAAAAAATATTGCTCAAAAAAATAATATATTCTTAAAAACTAGAAATAATTAATAAAAAATTATGTTTTTTGACATTACAGATAAAAAATTGGTTATACTTATATTATTGGCTCACTGTTTTTCCTATAAAAATACACGTAAATGTTGTTAAAGACTTCAAGTTACACTGATATTTTCAGTATATTAGTTTATTTATATTATTATTATTATTTATTTTAGTTAATTAATATTAAAACATTTTTATTCCATGTTAATTTGACTATTTGGCAACGCCAGAATTGAACGAAACAAATTCCAATCGATACTAAATCGATAAATTAAGAGATAAATCCATTTGCTTTCCCTGGTCACTCTTAAAACCAAAAAATCTATAAAAGCAACAAGCAGACGCTCATTATTTCTTTTCTAAAAAATTTGGAGCAGTAGCGTGGCGAAGAAAAAGTTTTAAATGATGACGTCAGAGCAAAGCCAACTAAAGGTTTTATTTTTTAAAGTGAAGAAGAGTTAATAAAACAGTCGGATGCAAGCGCAAACAATGGATTAAAAGTAAGCGAAATGTGTTTTTCTTGTTTTTTCGTTGTTTTTTGATGAATGTTCTTTTTCTGAAGAGTCGAGTGCTAGGTCGCAAGATTTGGCACTCTTCCTGTAGAAAGAATAAGAACGGCCAACTGATAAACTAAATAAATTAACTAGAATGTATATTAAATGCAATGTGTAAGCCAAAAAATTAACCTTTTCTTTCTTTACTTTGTTCTAGATTTGAAAAACACGTGGCCAGAGAGAGAGAGAGAACCGGCATTGCCCTCCATAGGTATGTAATCTCCTCTCGCTCTTACTTCATTAATAGTTTTTAATTTTTTCTGATGATAAGTTCAATCTGAACAAAGTGCTGTTGATTCACAACTTAAAATTAAACCAAAAGGATTCTGAGAAAATATTAAGTTTACTCCGAGGTTTAATCCGAATTTATGTCGATATTAACCACAGTATTTCTATTTTTTATTTTTAGCTCTACCGTATAATGACGCCGCCATTTTATGAAGTAGTCTGGAATGTGTGATTGAGGTAATTTAATTATATAAATCTTTATTTAAACCAGATTTCCTGATGATAAGTTCAATCTGAACAAAGTGCTGTTGATTCACAACTTAAAATTAAACCAAAAGGATTCTGAAACATTTAAATTAATATTTTAGTTAAAAAGAAAATGGCGATGAAAACCTAACCTAAGTTTTCTTTATTTTTAGCATTTTGCTGGTAACTCGTGGATCTACTTCAAAATAAAGTTCTCTCACTATGTGGTAAGTTTTATTTCAAATATAATTACTAAAAATAAAATTTAATTGATGACAAGAAATTACCGTTTGATTTCCGTGATATTAAACCCCATGGCTGCTATTTAATAGTAACTGATTATCCTTTTCATCAATAGAATGTTGTTTTATTGGTGCTTTTTAATAATTTAAATTTCTTTCTTATTTTTAGAATTCTTTCTGATGGATAGAAAACGGACAGAAACCAATCGCTTTCAGACAAGGTAAAGAAATGTGTCTTTGTTTTGTGTATATTTTTTTTTTTGATGAATGTAATTACCGTACGACTTTTGTGATTAAATCTAAATGGCTGCAATTTTTGCAACTGAACTTAATTCTTATTTAAAAAAATTTAATTTTTGCATTCAGATTCGTTAATTTATTTTCTCTTTTGCAGTTTTGACATGACATTCTGATAACTATGCTTAAATGATCTTATCCAGCCAATCAAGGTGAGATTTATGCACAATTTTTTAATTTGCTGCAATAGTTTATATGATGAATACCTTTTATCTATTAACTTTCGTTCTACTGAGTAGAAAATGCGGAGAAATATTACTGATACTTCTAACTAAAGCAGATTATTGCTAGTAAAAATGAATACAATTTTATGCCTACAATTAATTTTTTTGTATATTTTTAGATTAGCCGTTTATGGTTGAATGACTGTTTATCGTCGTGTTTATATCATCAGTTAACTAAGGTACGTTTATATTTCAAATACTATATTTTTAATGGTTCTATGATGTTACTTCTAGTATAGTTCATTAGAAACAAACATGTTACAAACTTTTTGAAGCTGATTAAGCTTTCAATTATTTTTTTCTGACCTTTCATTAAATCAATTTAAAATATATATATTTTCAATTATTTTAGATCAAGTCCTGCAGTTGTAATTCGATATCAAAAACGTCTACATAGATGTGCAGCTGTAAGGTAAGCATATACATTTCGTCTGATTTTGTTTTGAAAACAAATTTTAATTGAAAAGCGTTTGCTATGATGATAATATCCTATCTCAGGATTCCCTCTTCTGAGTAGAACCCTAAAACAACCATGCTGTTCACTTTCCCTGTCTGACATCAAACGCTTTACAAATAGAATTGATTGTTCAAATTTTAAGAAGACAGACTGGCTATAACGAAAACTATTTTAATTACAGGTCTTTCTGGAATGTTTCTAAAACGATTTCATTGCTCCAACTATAAGGTGAATATACTCTTAGTTTTTTATCTTAAATATTTGAAATGATGAAATTTTCCGTCCGTGGAATTTTTTCAAAGAATAAACCATGCTGACATTTTATGTCTTCTTTCCCCAACTGATAAATTATTTCAAAAATGGGTTTTGTTATACTTTAATATCAATATAAACTAATTTGCTTTTAATTTGTTTTCAGATTTCTCTTAAAAGTGGTCAGCCTGATCTTTGTTATTAAGCCTGCAGTTATAAAGGTAATTAATGAATAAATATATTTCGATTTTTTTGAAATGATGAAAATACCGTCCGTGGTTTTAGACTGAGTAACACCATGCTGCTTGAATGTCATTTCCCCAACTGATAAATCATTTCAAAAATGAGATTTTAAGCATGTACATTTCCATTACTAATTTGTATTTTCTTTTTACAGAATGCTTTAAAACATCGCATTTATAATCTGATTTTTGGCGGTTCTATGTTGATCGAATCAAAAGGTAACTAGACTTAAAACTGTATTTACAGTTGTTTGAAATGATGAAAATACCGTCCGTGGTTTTTTAACTGAGAAACACCATGCTGTTTGAAAGTCATTTCCCCAACTGATAACTCATGTCAAAAATTAAATATTTGTCTTCATTGAATTTGTATTAATTTGTTTGTTTTATTATCTTCTTTACAGGCTGTTCCCGGAAATGTATAAATCTGAAACTATTTTGACAAATAAAAGCTTATAGTATCTAAATGAAAATGTATTTAATTGGGGGTTTTGGGGTTCTTTATTGGCAAAGTTTTTAATATATTCAATCAAATGAAACAAACAACTTTATATGGGAATTTAAAATATGATAAACCAATTTTAGCGCCATCTAATGCCTTGAGTTTAGCATTTTGTGTTGCGCCATCTGGCGTACCTAAACCTAAGCGGATGTGTTTAAGATGTGGCAACGCCGTTGAGATCTTAGCAAAAGCTGGTTGATATAAAATTAAATATAAATTTAAAATTACGCGGGCAACTATTTTTTTTGTTTGTTCATATATATTTAAGCCCATTTGAAAAATATGCTTTTTGATAAATTGTAGGTAAACATATATTCTTCAATCGGGCACATTAAATAAGCAAACATCATTTCGTGTAAAAATGTTTATTTATTATTATTTTATGTTGCTGCAAGTGTATGGTATACACTTAAATTTTTTACAAAAGTGTGTTTAAATAAGATGCAAAATTAACGAGTTTGCAAAATATTTATTTTTCAAAAGTGTTACGAGCTTCATGCCCTGCCAGCCGTATAAGCAACAACACCATGAACAATAAGATGGAACACCCCCATTTCAGAGAAAACGGGGGGCGGTGTCACAACTATTTTCAACATTGTGCACACATTTCATTCATTGAGTGCATGTTGAGCATGAGCATACTATATTTACAACAAGTTACGACTACAGCTACGATGATGTGTGCAATGCACTTTATGCGCTTTTATGCGATTTTATGGGGCATTTTAAATGACAGTTAGTTGGTTTTTTATTAAGTTGATAATTATCTCGGTTGTAAGGAGGGTGTGCAATCAAAACGCAATGAATTCAATTGAGAATTTTCCATTTCCCCTTCAAGCTAAAGTTATTTACAACTTTACTTGTGACTTCAGGAAAGAGTGTTTTCGATGGCTGGTTTTGTGTGCAGTAGAAAAATCAATTTTCACTTAACAATTTTAAAATAATGTTTTCTGAAATACTTAAAAAATTAATTAAGAATAACGAAGTAAAGGTTATTTTAAATTTAAGAAACATTTGGAAAATAAAATATTTCATAAATATATTTGAGATTTTTATTTGAGTTATATAGAATTATTTAAAGTAAAATAATAACTAATATAAAATAAAATACATTAAATTTAACTAAATAAATGTAAATAGTTATTGTATTGAATACTTATAAATCTTTATGATGAAAAACAAGAAAGGAAAGCTAACTTCGGGCGGAGCCGAAGTTGAAATACCCTTGCAGAATATTCTGCAAATTATATTCTCCAAAATCATTCATAATGCATTCTTAATACTCATAAAAAATCCCAACTTCCTAACTTTAAAAACACCAAAGTTATGGCATTTCCAATCGTTCAGTTATATGGCAGTTATAGAATATAGTCGGCCGATCCTTATGAAATTTAATATGTCGGATTGATTAGGCAAAAATAAAACCCATAGAAAATCCCAACTTCCTAACTTAACAAACACCAAAGTTATGGCATTTCCGATCAATCAGTTATATGGCAGCTATAAGATATAGTCGGCCGATCCTTATGAAATTTGGTACGTCTGATTGATTGGCCAAATATAAAACCCATAGAAAATCCCAACTTCCTAACTTTACAAACACCAAAGTTATGGCATTTCCGATCAATCAGTTATATGGCAGCTATAAGATATAGTCGGCCGATCCTTATGAAATTTGGTACGTCGGATTGATTGGCCAAATATAAAACCCATAGAAAATCCCAACTTCCTAACTTTACAAACACCAAAGTTATGGCATTTCCGATCAATCAGTTATATGGCAGCTATAAGATATAGTCGGCCGATCCTTATGAAATTTGGTACGTCGGATTGATTGGCCAAATATAAAACCCATAGAAAGTCCCAACTTCCTAACCTAACAAACAGCAGAGTTATGGCATTTCCGATCAATCAGTTATATGGCAGCTATAGGATATAGTCGGCCGATCCCGGCCGTTCCGACTTATATACTGCGTGCAAAGGAAAGAAGGGTGTGTGCAAAGTTTCAATTCGATATCTTTAAAACTGAGAGACTAGTTCGCGTAGAAACAGACAGACGGACAGACAGACGGACAGACGGACAGACGGACATGGCTATATCAACTCAGGAGGTGATCCTGATCAAAAATATATATACTTTATAGGGTCGGAGATGTCTCCTTCACTGCGTTGCACACTTTTGACCAAAATTATAATACCCTCTGCAAGGGTATAAAAAGGTGCAAAATTATTTTTCTGAGTTGATGGTTTTTTGGATATAAAAAATATTATCAAAACTTTTTATACATACTTAGTCACATCTTAAATATTTTTGAAATGCTTTGTGATTATTACATTTTTGAGCAATGTAAACGAACTTTTTCGCAGTGTTCTCCGTAGTTTACTAAAGGCTGGCAGGAAGTTCTGGGTGTCGTCGTCGGACGCTGCCAAGTCGTCGAACTTTTTGCACTCGATATGTGACGACAAGGACATCGCTGCGCTTTTCCACTCCCGAAACTGATAAAGATAAGGCCAAGGAGTCTGTCGCCGCTCCGCTCCGAGTGGCTCCTGCAGGAAACTTTGCCTTTCTGCCTGTCTTGGTTCTGGGCTCTGTCTTGTGGCCCTCTGGCCCTGGTTTTTGCGGTTAACTGGCGAGGAGCGGGCCAGCTGCTTAAGTTGGCCGGCATTTCAGTGACAATTTATTTTCTGTGCTTTGGCATTCGCTTTTCAACAAATCGAAAAACTATTAAATTGGGCTGAAAGCCAGCAAACGAACGCCAAAGAGCCAGAAGAACAAATAAAGGCAAAAGAAATGAGGGAGAAGTATTTATTTCCGCAAAATATTGAAAGCCGTATGCCCTATTTGTAGGGTAATTAGGATTCCAGATTGGTTATCCTTTGAGGACTATTGTTGGAGAATTTTTGGTAGAGTTTTGATGGGATTTGGTTTAAATGATAAAAAATCATTGTGATTTTAAAAGTCAAATAAAAACTTAATGAATATGTAATATATAATTTTACATTGTCCAATATTTACCATAGGAAATCACTAACTTTTTTTAATATTTCTTTTGAGTTACTTCATGTGATATTGAGGTATTAAAAATAGCAAATTTTTTTAAATTACAAATGCTTTAAAAAGTAGATTTAAATAATGAACTTAATTTTTATTACATGATTCGTTGAACTGCTTTGCTATGCTCCTCGGTATCTGGGTTACCCATGTGAAATAACGCCTTTAAAAGGTGAATCCTTTGATGATTCCCCTCGTGGGATTCGAGCGCTCTCTTGCAACATTCCGTGTCCTGCTAAGAGTATTCAAAAGCAAACTTTTGCCGCTTTTTGTCAGGACTTACACTGGCAGAGATTTCGCTTTGTTGACAGTCACGCGACTTCTCCATGCTTTGGCACATTTGATTTGGCTGCAACTTTTCACCTCGCAACTGAGAACTGCGACGACATCAAGTTAATTGGATGGCAAAATTGGGGGTGGCGGTGGGCATTCGGGTCGGAGGACTTACGGACCAAAGGACCAAAGGACGGATCTGTGTGGCCGGGTGACAAGTGTGGCCAAGGCAGCGGAGGCCGATTAGAATCTAAGCCAGAGGAAACGACACACGACACACATGGCATTCAACCATTTTGAGGCGAGCAAACAGACATTAACACGTGAGCGTTGAGCGGTTATCTCTGGGATCTCGCAATCTCTGGATCTCAAAATCTCAGAATCCCAGAGTGTGTTTGCTACTTGGCACCTCTTCAAAACAAATACCCTACAAATTCAATGGGATGCGGGCCCTTCGAGTGACACTAAACTAATTAAAAGTTTGTCAGACTCCGGGTTTCGGGTCGGCCAGTCGTCCATATGGCCTAGACTACGGGTTTATTGGCATAAATTACGCATTGAAATCACGTAAGTGTCGGGGGCAAAATTTAATCACAGAGTGCGAGTGCGAGTGCGGCGGCTAAACAAGAATTAAATTTAGCAACATAACCAAATCAAAAAAGGGACCACTCCGAACACGGACATGGACATGGAACACGGACACGAACAATTTCCCCCTGTGAACGGAGGAGCAAAAAATTTGCACACAAACTACGTGACTTCAATTCCTCAGTGCGGCTGGAAAAAAAAACACAAAATACAAAAAAAAAACCAGGGTGTACAGCCGTGTGTATCTATGTGGTTACCTCTCAATGGCTTTTGTTCGGCCCCGTGTACAACTTTTAATCCTTTGCACTTTTGTCAATGTCAGAGACGAGATAGACTCAGATTTAGATTCTGCCCAATGACAAACAATATAAAAAAGAGGGAAAAGTGGCTCTGCTTTTGGTCAACGAAGTTTCAATACCCTTAAAGAACACTCGATTCAGAAAAGCTTAGAGAAATATACCTGATAGCATCAAATTGATTCATTTAAGTCAGAGGAAAGGTAATAAATAAGTTATGAAAGGTATAAACTTATATCACTTTATTTATTGGATTAATAGGATTTATCTCTCACCTTAAGTATTTCTCTAATTAAATGTATTATTAAATTCTTTTTTAACTATCTTCATAGTTTGGCAGTCCTAAAACAAAAAACTAATACTAGTTTCAATACAATATGAATTCTATTAGACCCTTAGCATTTGAATAGCTATTTTTATTAATCGCTTTTTTTCGTTTGCATTTCAGATATGGGGATACCCAAACTAATCGCTTTAAAGTGTTTTAATTTATTACAAACTCGTTGTAGATGCTAAACCATAATACCCTCACCGAAAGTGACAGCCCGAAAAAGGTCGAAATAAACGGGGAATTGCGATCTGTTTGGGAAATAGTTTTTCACCACAATGACATTTCAGTTTTCCGCACACGGACAGTTTTTCAGGGCACGAGAAGATGGCCAATAAAATTAATTGATTTTGAGGTTGCTTTTTTTTACGGCTGCTGATGTTGCAGCTGTTTTTATTTTTTTGTTGGTGATTTTGATTTCTGCTTCTGTCACAGTTGACCGCATTTGATTGGCGGTGGTAGGTGCAGCCGAAAAGAGGTTACCATGGCTTAAAGGTGACCCAGGATTTCTAATTAGATTAGTTTCGATTTCAGACCACCTGGAGATGGCATAAATAATGGAAAATCTTTACATTGATTTAGATAGCTAACAAGTAATGTGGTAGGAAAATAATATCATTAATTAAACAATATATCAAAATAGCATGCAAATAAAAAGGGAGAATGAAGACAGCGCTGTTCCTTTGAAATTTAAAATAAATAGCAATAAATGGCAAATAAATAAAATATGGCGTGTAATTGGCGTATCGAAATTCGGATTAATTTTTTACGTTTTTCCTTCCTCTCCATTGAGTCCTTGGCCAAAGGAAGGGGAAACCAGCAATTTTGAGCGTAAACGTAAACGTAAACGTAAACGTAAACGTAAACGCTTTCAACAACTCTCCCTTTGCATCTGGCATTGATTTCCATTTTACATTTTCCGTTTTTATTAACAAGCATTTAAATGCAATGAAGTGAAATGCGAATCTCTCAATGCGAACGCACTCTGTGTATAAATATTTCTGGCTGGCCTTTGTTGAATTATTTTTATGGCTTGCCATAGTGTAGATGGCATTTCATGGCTGATTTAACCCGGCTGCCTAACAGTTTCGTCTGGGGATATACTCGTATATTCAGTTTTCCCTACCGCTTTTCCGATTCCGATTCCGACTCTGATTCTTCTGCTCCTGTTATTGCTGTTGTTATTCATTCGTTCACATTTTTTTCATATGTCAGTGGCGTAAATGAAAACGCAAACGGGGCGTATGATTAATGTGGTTTACATATGAAAACGAGACTCCGTCCCAGAACTCCATTCCCTCCATCTCTTTCTCCGCCTCTGTTGCTGTCTCTTCCGGCTTCTGTTGTAGTTGTTGTTCTTCTTGTTGTTGTTGGCAGTGCTTATTCAATAATTTATTGCTGGCAGCCTCAGCCACTTACAATGTCAGAAAAATATGCGCGAAATATGCATAAAAGTATTACATGCAGGCTTTTGTCAGCTGGCCGGAATGTCACACTACCGCCTCTTACATGTACACACACATTCGAGTGTATCCCCTATACAACAGCCCATCCTTATCGCCTGAGAAGCCGAAAGTGAAAGCTTAAGCCTTAATAAATCACAAAATATGGGATTATCAATTAATAAGCTGCTGAGAAATTTTCAGGGCCTTTGAAGTTGATAAGCAATTAAATTTAATGAGACTATAAAAGGAGAGGTGGAAGGTGCTCAGAGCTTGAACTTGAACATTAAATTGTAAAGAAAAATAATAAGTAAATTGGTCAAGACTTTAATGAATTGTGCTTATGTAAAAGTTCTGTGTTCTAAATTCAAACTTGGTCATAAAATAGTCGGAGGGTCTTAAATGTCAAGTGATTGTAAGGAAAAGTGTGTGTACTTAGCTTTCACAGGAAGTATTTGAATTTTAAATGCAAAAATGCATTTAATTGTTTTTTTATTTGAAAACAATTTAGCTAACACTTAGAATAAGCGGGCTATTAATTCTATTATTAAGCTAAAAGTTTGAGTATTAAGTGCGACAGATATTTAAAAAACGCTAATCTAAAAATAAAAATGCTTAGGAAGTTTATTCCTTAAGGGATTTCCTGATAATAATTTTGTGTATTCTAATTTTATTAGTTCAAAATAATTAATAATGATTATTTCCCCCTTTAACCCTTTCCCGCAGTGTAGTTTCATAAATAAACAATTCATTATCAATAGAGAACCATAATGTCGCATGACTGATGTGATTGCTGGCTGAACTTGAACCGAGGGCGATAAATCTGCAGTTCCCATTCAGATTCGAAGTACTAAGTCGGTCTTCCAGTCCGCTCGCATTGCACAGTTCGAAATGAGTAGCCAGAAGATTGGGATTGTGGGCAGTGGATTGATTGGCAGGGCCTGGGCGATGCTCTTCGCCGCAGCTGGCTATAGAGTCCAGTTGTATGACATTCTGGAGAGCCAGTTGTCCATGGCTCTGCAGGAGCTGGACAAGGATCTGCACAGTCTGGAGGAGAAGGGTTCGTTGAGGGGCGATTTGCGGGCTTCCGAGCAATTCGCCCTCATCGAGGTCACCAATCGGCTGGAGGAACTGACCAGAGAGGCAGTGCACATACAGGAGTGTGTTCCCGAGGTTCTTCAGCTGAAGAAGTCTCTGTACTCCCAGTTGGATGAGCTGCTGGAGGAGCAGACCGTTGTGGCCAGTTCCACGAGCACCTTTATGCCATCGCTATATAGCGAGGGATTCAAGAGGAGGCAACAGGTGGGTCAGGGAAAAGTCTTTTCCTTTCACTGGAATATTATATATATGAATTTCCCCTTCCTTAAACAGATGCTGGTGGCCCATCCACTGAATCCCCCGTACTTCATACCCCTGGTGGAGATTGTCCCCGCTCCCTGGACTTCCTCTGAATCCGTTGAGCGAACTCACAACCTGATGCTCAGCCTGGGCCAACGTCCGGTGACCCTAAAAAAAGAGATCCAGGGCTTTGCCACCAACCGGATTCAGTATGCCATCCTAAACGAAGTGTGGCGCTTGGTGGGTTCCGGCATACTCAGCGTGGCGGATGTGGATCGAGTGCTGAGTCAGGGATTGGGATTGCGCTATGCCCTCCTCGGATCCCTGGAGACGGCCCATCTAAATGCTCCTGGTGGCGTGGCTGATTATTTCCAGCGATTTGGCGGCGAAATCTCTGCCGTAAGTGCCACCTATGGAGAAACCCCAAATACTCAGGAGGATCGAGTGACTCTGGAGGAGATTGCCAGGCAGTGTGAGCAGTTGGTGCCGCTGGAAAATCTGGAGGAGAGACGCGCCACCCGCGATGAGTTCCTCACCCAGCTGGCCAAACTAAAAAAGCACTTTGAATAGGAAATTAATTGCTGGGTTTGTGATGTACCCTGAATAAACTGCGAATCAACTAAATGGGTCTGTGTCATTTTCCGTCTCCTCGCTTCTCCAGTTTCGTGCATTAATGAAATTAATTTTTGCGGCAACCGGAAACGCTTTTCCAAGCGGAGCATTCAAGTACAACGTGTCACATTTCCGCATCGGCATCCTCGCCCTCGACGCTTTTCTTAGTTTTCCCATTACAATTTTCCCCCGTTTCGGCACTTGGCCTGATGAATGCTGGCGGCCTTAACTCATTTTTCATTTCGGGCGCTGCTGAATTCTCCCCGGACTAAGAGCTGCTTAAGTGAAAAATCTCTATTTGAGCGCCGGATTTGTTTTCACTGCGGCTTGTTGGCAGCTCTTTAGCAATTGCTTTAAATATCACGATTTAGCGGGTTTTTGCTTGAGTGAAAATGCTTGATAGTGATTAAAAATAATCCATTACCTTTTCATTTTAGTAAAGAAGAAGGCTGTATATTAATAATAAAAGCCATCTTGAAAATGTATAAAACCAAAAATTAAGTGTTTAAAAAAAGTCAGACGTTTCAGACAAGATAAACATTTGCCCCAAGGGGATTCAAGTATTCCAAAGTTTGTTTTTAAAATAATAAATAATAAATAATAATAAAATAAAATCGTTTGCTGAAAAAAGGAACAAGTAAGAGTATAGAAAAATTAGGACAATAAATTTTTTCTATCAATCAATTTGAAATAATTACCAAATGTAAGTTTGTATTTTTTGAAATATCAAATTATGCAACTTAGCTTCTTTAAAACGTACATAAATACTATATATTGCATAAAATTATACAATTAATTTATTATGTATTATTATGGTCTATGCTGAGAAACATACATCTACCCTGTCCAATTCAGCTTATTTTTTACATTTATGTAACCAATTTAATTTTATTTGATGAAGTATTAATGATTTTCAATTTAATAAAACTCTTTATCTGATGGTATTCGACTTTCCGAAGCCTTCTTAATTAAAATGCTAGCCCAGCAGACCGTCGGCCATATTTCAATGCCAAGTATTTAAAAGAGTGGCCATGGCCATATAACAATTAAAGTCGCATAATTTCAGCCAGTCTGCAGTGGTCCTTTGTGGGTGCTGGATTTTTTGGGGTAGGCTCCCGTGGAGGATCCTGAATCGTCTGCGGCCCTGAAATTGTTGATGCCGCCGGCAGCGGCGGCGTCGGCTAAAAACTGCAATGTCATTGTTGCGAGTCAGCGGGCGGTGGACAAAAAGCATGTGGCTAGTAATTCATTACCCAGGCCATCAGCCATTGGAATTTCATAGAGGGGAAGGGGAAGGGGAAGGGGAAGGTGGAGCGCGGGACAATTGCACATGGCGCTGGCCAGCCATGCCATTTAATGTGCAAACAAAAGGCGTTGACAAAAAATTACATTCGAAAAAAAGATGACAAAAGGCAAAAAGAGTTGGCCAACGTTATGAGGTGAACGTATGTATTTGTAAAGTGCAGACAGTGCACAATGGCGATGTGGGGGTGCTGCTAAAAGTTAAAATAACGAACGATAATTAATGGAATGACAACATAAAGCAGGCAACAATTTCAATGTCCTCTTTGCTTTACTTTGGCTCACTACTCCTTCTTTTTTTGTCTTTATTCCTGGTCTGAACCAGACGTTAGGACCTGCTGTTTATTGAACTCGGTGGGTGGGTGATGGCAAAATGGCGCTAAAGCGGAAACGGAAGGAAGCCATGTGTCGGGGTAAAGCGGAAATGCATTGTTTTATGCCCAATTTCATTTGTGTGTTTTTTTGCCAGAGAGTAAGCGATGTAAAATCAAGAGGTGGATGGATGCATGTAATTAACGCCAGCGCAATCAAAGTAATTAATTTCAAGAGAGTTTGAGATGGGGGGAATTGGCAGGAAAAACCACTAAAGGATGTTGGAAGGCATTTGAATTCGTTCCAATCAAGTTTGGCCACCACCAAGTTCAAAGGGATTTGCTCGACCACTAATTAAATTCCGGACACAAAGAAAAACTCCGATTTCTTTGTCGCCGCAGCATCATTAATTATATCCACGCTGGCTTCGCTTTTCCTCACCTTACAAATAAACCAAAAACCTAAAAACAAAAAACACCACGTAGACAAAGAAATAACAATTTTTCAATCCCAACGACATTTGTTCTTGTTAGCTCAGTTGTTAACAATCGATTTGACGTGTTCCCTCGGACCTTCGGGGGCAAATAGGACCAGCAGGAGTGGCAACAAATAAGGGGCCATGTTTTATGGCCCGGGGGCAGGGCCACGCCCCCGCAGCCGGCAGACAGATAGAGCCCCGAATAATAAATCATTCCATAAAACATTTACGCCTCGGAGCGTACAAAGTTGATTCGAACCGAACCTAGTCGATCCCATTCGATTCGATTTGATTCATTACATTCAAAGTATGTGAGGATGATAAATAAATAAGCAGGTTGTGAGGCGAATGAAGATGTCAAAGCCTCGGATGCGGGTGAGAACAAGGAGAAGGGATCCTTAAATCATCAGCTAACCTCTTTCATTTATCATCGTTGGGGGCCAAAAGACAAAACAATCCGGGGCGATTCATTTAACTCCGACATCTCAAATGTGCGACCCAAAAATCACAAAACAAACCATCGCAAACAATGGCAAACAACAGCAAACAATCGCCGGGAGCTTCAAACTGTCTTCGAGGCAATTTCCCATTTTCTTGGCCCCGCAATTTGTGGCATCGCTCTCCCACTGACATTTATCTTGATCGACCTCAGTGGCGTTTTTTGCACCGCAGCAAATTCAATTTGCTTTATTGATAACACACAATGGACACACAATAAGCACAGCAACAGATCAAAGTTAAGCGAAATAAGAATGCTCTAACCCAAATAAAGTAATTTAAAAAAAAAATCTTAAATAAATACTAAAAGAAGAGCATCATAAAATGGCCAAGCTTTTTGTCTGTAGAAACTCTAAAAATGTCTGCAAAACGTTTTTCGTTTTCCTAATCTCCTTTCGTTTGTTTGTGGCATTTGTTGTGGTCAGCCAATAAATCAGTGCCTTTGAAATAATTTATGTTCTTGGGCTGGAATTTTCATTTATCTGTCGAACGTATTGTTATTACTCGGTCGGTTACTATGGGCCCTTGGCTAATCGAGGAGGCCAAGTATTCGAGTTCATTATGACAAATTTGTGTGCTCAAGAAAATTAATGTCCTTGCCTCGAACTTGGTGCATTATTAAACCGCTTTAAAGGAGTGCATGCTGCACGCCTTTATCCTTGTCCAAAAGTCACGTCCGAGTCCCCGGCGAAGGTCCTTCGTCCTGGAAGCCCGTCAGCGTTTTTGTTATCCCTCGCTTTTTTGTGTCTGGAACGGCGGTCAAAACCGCAGACGCTTCGGAGGCGGACGATGGGCAAATTGTTTGGCCAACACAAAGTTTATTTAATTTCTCACAGAATGGAGATCTACGTGCCCCTTTTTTGACTTTGTTGATTAAAACAAATTGCGCCCTGTCTCAACTGCGCCGGCAAACGTCAGACGGTCAAGAAATTGGTAGGAGTATATTGGGATGGAGTGGAAAATACTCGTAGAATGTGGAAACAGATACCATTTGAGGGGCTTTAGAGCTCTCCCAGATCGGTGAATTGTTTGATCCTGGCTAGACTGCAAAATCTAGAGTGGGGAAATGTTACATAGTGCTTTAATAATGAGTAAAAATTTCCAACTTATATTTCTTTATTTACTTAATAATGTACATTTGAACAATAATGATGAAAACTGCTTTGTTTGTTTCGCAAAGCACAACTGTACCTGAAATGCGCCTCTCTCTGCGCTTCTCAATGTTTTCAGCAAGTAGGACAAGTCGTATCTAATTAGTCTCGTTGTGTATTTGAGTTTATTTTCGCAATCAAATTTCTTATTTGCTTTTTCGTTTTTTTCGCCAACTCAAATTTGCTGGCAATTGTCATAACTCTAATGCAATTAACCCTTGCCCAGCCAGAAAAGGGCTTATCAGATAAAGACGAGCGAGGAGGGCAAAAACAGAAAGCAGGACGAGATAGGAATGGGGGAGCTGAGTAAATACAGCCATAGAGTAAACCTAAATATTTAATTAGGATTATAACGAAGCGAGCTTATCGCGGATGGCGGCAGCATCGCAACTGAAAGTGATGAGGGGGGCGAGAGCGATGAATGTCAAAGACTGTGTCCTACGGGCAAGGGCTTCCTGCTCGCAGGATAACAGGAAATGCACAAGTGTGTGTGTGTGTGGGGGGATCCACCCACTATGTGCGTCTGGCGTTTCACTTTTCGTTGACTTAATTTAATTAATTTCCTAGCCCAAAGGGTCCATCCTGTCAGCCTGTCTGTCTATCTCACTCTCATCCTGGGCTTTTTTATTTGTTGATACGTATACGCCACGTTGCATGGGAATAAAGGCCCGGCCACCCACTTGATGCATATATAGGCACATATGCCTATCGATACTCGGTACACGATACAGGATACACGATACACAGGCAACAGGACCCGAGAACCGAGAACCCAAGGACCAGGAGGATGTGTGTGTAATATGCTGTAAATAATGAAAATCCAATTTTTGTTGCTTCTTTTTACCCTCACCTGGAATGTGTGCTGTGGGCGGCATAATGGGTTCATCATCGTTGTGGCGGAAAGATGATTATGACCGGGCACGTAGGTACCCTCCACACTTTGTCAGGGGTCATCCACCACCTAAGATGGATGGGGGCATTAAGTTAATAAAGTGTTAAGCCTTTTGTTATTGCCGCAGAACCAAAGTCTGAAAAATTCAATTTATGTTGGCTTAGGCGAGGTGAAGTAGCCGACTCGTAGAGGGTATTCCGCATTCTTGGTGAACTGATTTTTGGGGCTCTCCTTTCTGGCTTCTTGATTGCATTACATTCTCAGCCCTCGAATCGTTTCGTTTCGTCTGCGTGGCGCATTCCATTTGCCCTTTTTCGTTGACTTTGCCTCCTGGAGATTTAATTTCGTTTGCCGTGCATTTTTTTTCCAGCTCCTTTTC